CCACACTTAGCCCCGCCCTAACCCTAGCCCCACACTTAGCAGACTAGCCCCGCTAACCCTAGCCCCACACTTATAGAACGAGTTAAAAAAAGAGAATTATAAATGTTATAGTAAAAAAAGGTAGAATAAACTTAGAAAAAAAAGTTAAGAAGTTTAGAGAAAGAAAGTAGTGTGTAAAGAAAAAAAGCATAATAAAAGACTAGGTCACATCCTTTTAAAACGTAAAGTATAGACTACGTAAATAAGTTTCTTAGGCATTCTGACATAAAGTTTAAAACTAGGGCATACAAATAGATGGAAAGATGGAAGGATAGAATTCCTATAAAGAAGAAAAAATTAAGGGCAAAATTTCCGGTTAGAGTAACAAGTTTAATGACAGAAACACTTAAAGAATTAAAGAGAAGGCAGAGTAGTATAAGTAAGAAGGAAGAGAAAACGAGTACACAAAGGAGAGAAAAAAATAGAAGGGTTTAGAATCAACCTTAAAAGAAAATCAATTTTTAAGTTATGGTATATTATACTAAATCTTAGAAATAAAAACTTCTAAACAGGTTAGGTTGTGAAGAGAGAAGTCCGTTGAGTGGGAATGCGGAAAACCAAGGAGGAGGTCGGCAAGGACAGACAGAAAACATGCAAGGGGTACAGGCGACAATATGTTCGGGAGAGGAAAGGTGGACAACCAGAAGGGAGCAGGTGCCAAAGGAGAAGGTTAAGGATGATAAGGAAAATAAAAAGAAGATAGAATTTGTAATGAAAAGAAAAAGAAGGAATAAGAAGACTTAGAAATTAAGTTAAGAACCTAAATTAGCTTAAAAGTTAAGGTAGTTTATGACCTTCGCAAAATTTACAAATTAGTAACTAAAAATATCATAGAAAATAAATTATAATGGTAAAAGCGGGGGCGGAGGGAGATATAAAAATTAATTTATACGTACACTTTTTAATATGTAGCGTCTTATTATCGTAGTAAACACAAGCTAAAACAAGATACACCAAGTTTTACTTCAGTAGACTTAAGAAACAAAAAAGTAAGCACTTACAAACAATGCTAGAAGAATTAAAATGATCAGACAAAGAACATAGAGACCATGGTCCACAAGAAGCTATCCTGAAAAAGAAAAGAGTACGAGGACATAAATTACGAGGAAAAGACAGGCTATTTATGGGGTGGGGGTTGGGGTGGTTCGGGGGGTAGAGCGAGTTGATATAACAACAAGGAAAAAAGAATGGACAATTCGACAGACTTAAAAAGAAATAGACGAAACGGCCATCTTAAATAAAAAAAAGAGATTAATCAACCTTAAAGAGTCCTAAGCGACTTAAAAAAGCTAGCAAGAAATAAAGAAGAAGCAACTTCTAAATTAATAACAATCAACGAGCCTGTAAATGAGAATCCCCGGCCTAACCCTAGCCCACACTTAGGCCCCGCTACCCCAGCCCACAACTTAGCCCCGCTAACCCAAGCCAGCCCACACTAATATCCCCGCTAGCCCTAGCCCACACTAGCCCCCTAACCCTAGCCCACACTTAGCCCCGCTAACCCCTACCACACTTAGCCCGCTAACCCCTAGCCCCACCTTAGCCCGCTAACCCTAGCCCACACTTAGGCCCCTCTAACCTCTAGTCCCACACTTAGCCCCGCTTAACCCTAAGCCCACACTTAGCCCCGCCTAACGCCTAGCCACCCTTAGCCCCCGCTAACCCTAGCCCACACTTTAGCCCCGCTAAACCCTAGCCACACTTAGCCCCAACTACCCTAGACTCCCCACACTTACCCCCCGCTAACCCTAGCCCACTCCCTTAGCCCGCAACCCCTAGCCCACACTTACCCCGCTACCCTAGCCCCACTTTAGCCCCGCTAACCCTGCCACACTTTAGCCCTCGCTAACCCTAGCCCACTTTTAGCCCCGCTTAACCCTAGCCCACCTTAGCCCCCCGCTAACCCTAGCCCACACTTAAGCCCCTCTACATCCTAAGCCCTACACTTAGCCCCGCTAACCCTAGCCCACCCCTTATCCCCGCTAACAACCCTATCCTCTACACGTAGCCCCCCCCCGCTAACCCTAGCCCACACTTGGCCCCGCTAAAACCCGGAGAGCCCCACACTTAGCCCCGGCGAACCTAGTCCCACACTTAGTGACCCCGCTAAACCCTAGCCCCGACACTTAGCCCCCCGCTAACCTAGCCCACACTTAGAGCCTAGATCATGCCAGTCGGATGGAGCCGCGGGGGGCGTAGCGCAGTGAGCAAGGCTAGCAGTGCGCCCTTCGGAGTATGAGCTTGGTAGAGAGGCCAGAGAGGGAGGCTAGCGGGGGCTAGAGCTCGGGCGCGAGGCGAGGAAGTGAGAGGGCAGGCCCAGACCGCCTATCTAGCCCGATCGTGCGATGAGGCGCGAGGGCGGCCGGCGCGGGGTGGGCGGCGGAGTAGGCGGTACAGGCAGAGGCGAGCAGCAGGCAGTGAAGGCCCGAGCAGGGGCGGAGGGCGGGAGGGACCGAGAGTGTAGAGGAGCAGCGGTAAGTTCACTTCCTTATTGCTTAGGAGCCAATTAGCGCATGGGTGTTAGGTGGGCGGGTTAGGAGCCTTAGGAGGCCAGCTAGGTAGCGGCAGGTTAGGCATGACTTATTAGGGGCGGGCCTCGAGCCTATGAGAGGGTGATGGCTGTTAGCCGGGTAGAGATTAGGCTGCTTAATAGAGGAGCTCCCTTAGCATGTTAGGAGTTAGGGATGGATAGCTGGTAGAGGGGCTGACCACTTAGAGGTGGGTAGGGCTGTTAGCGATCTTAGGTATTCGTAGGCGCACTAGGCAGCTCGGGCAAAATGTTTAGGAGAGGCGGAGGCCGGCGTTGAGGGTCGAGAGGCTAGGCTTAGAGGGGAGGGGTGGCGGGGTAGAGGCTGAGCAGAGGGGGGCATGAGAGCGTCCTTTAAGGTGAGTAGGGATGGGAGGGCGAGCTCAGGCGTAGGGCGGTCACTTAGCCGGCCGGGGGCTAGCCATTATCTAGTTAGCAGCTTAGTGGCCCAGTCGGTGGCGGAGGTAGGAGCAGGGGAGAGCTAGAGCCGGAGGGGACAGCAGATAGGCAGGAGCAGAGAGTGTCATGCCGCCGTAGGGGCCGGTAGGCCGGAGGCGGGGGCTCGGCGCGTGGCAGCGTTTATAGTCCAGCCTGGTAGCGGGGGCTAGCAAGGGGGAGGGGAGGGCCTTAAGTGGCCGTTTTTTCCGAGCAGGGGACATTAGGATCCTGCGGTAGAGAGTTAGGCGTCGAAGAGCGGCTTTAGATAGAGGCCCAGCTGATGGGTACTTATAGCAGCTTAGAGCAGAGGATCCAGTTAGGAAGGGGATCTTAGTCTACCGGTTTAGTTTTAGGGGTAGAGGGCGCGGCAGCGCACTGAAGGAGCGCGAGGCAGGGGCGGCCAGTCTGCCGGGCCGTCAAGCCAGAAGCTGTATAGCCTGAGCGCGAGATCTCTAGTAGGCATGGTGGGAGTGATATAGGTAGAGGCGGAGCGCTATGCGGACAGGCGGAGGGCCCAGCATGAGAGGCGGTGGCGAGTCGAGGCGTTTAGTTATCTGATGGCCGCTGGTCAGGGAGGGACATGGCTGTAATGCGGAGTTTAGAGAGGGGGTGAGATCAGCTTTAGGATCGCTGAAGATGAGGGATTAGAGTTAGAGGTGGCGAGCGGGAGGAATGCCCTTCGAGAGTTGTGCTACGCTCTATCCCCGCCGCTAGTATGTGGACCTAGCCCACACTTAGGCCCCCGCTAATAACCCTAGCCCCACTAGTCCTCCCGCTAACCCTATCCACACTTATCCCCGCTAACACCCCTAGCCCACCACTTAGCCCGCCGCTAACGAACCCCTAGCCCACAACTTAAGCCCGCTAACCCTAGCCGCACACTTTAGCCACCGCTAACCCTAGCCCACATGCTTTAAGCCAACCCCGCTAACCCATATCCCACCACTTAGCCCCGCTAACCTAGCCAACCTTGAGCCCCGCTAACCCTAGACCACACTTTAGAGCCCCGCTACCCTAGCCCACAACTTAGGCCCGCTAACCCTAGCCCACACTTAGCCCGCTACCCCTAGCCCACACTTAGCCCCGCTAACCCTAGCCCCACTTAGCCCGCCTAACCCTAGCACAGCACTTAGGCCCCGCTAACCCTAGCCCACACTTAGCCCCCGCTAACCCTAAGCCCACACTAGCCCCGCTAACCCTAGCCCAGCACTTAGCCCCGCTAACCCTAAATCCCACTTTAGCCCCGCTAACCCTAGCCCACACTTAGGGCCCCGCTAACCTAGCCACACTTAGCCCCGCTAACCCTAGCCCACACTTAGCGGCCCGCTAGCGGGGACCCTAGCCCACACTTAGCCCCGCTAACTCTAGCCACACTTAGCCCCGCTAACCCTAAGCCCACACTTAGCCCCGCTAACGCCTAGCCCACACCTTAGCCCCGCTAACCCTAGCTCCCACTTAGCCCGCTACCCCTACCCAACACTTAGCCCCGCTAACCCTAGCCCACACTTAGGAGTTAAGCCAGGCACCCGCCCCGCCTTACTATTTTAAAAACCCTAGCCCAAACTTAGCCCCGCTAACCCCTAGCCCACCCTTCGCCCCGCTAGACCTCGCCCCACTTAGCCGCCCCGCTAACTCCTAGCCCACACTTAGCCACTGCTAAACCCTAGCCCACACTCGTACCCCCGCTAACCCTAGCCCACACGTTAACACTTAGCCCCGCTAACCCTAGCCCACACTTAGCCCCGCTAACCTTAGCCCACACTTAGCCCCGCTAACCCTAGCCCACACTTAGCCCCGCTAACCCTAGCCCACACTTAGCCCCGCTAACCCTAGCCCACACTTAGCCCCGCTAACCCTAGCCCACACTTAGCCCCGCTAACCCTAGCCCACACTTAGCCCCGCTAACCCTAGCCCACACTTAGCCCCGCTAACCCTAGCCCACACTTAGCCCCGCTAACCCTAGCCCACACTTAGCCCCGCTAACCCTAGCCCACACTTAGCCCCGCTAACCCTAGCCCACACTTAGCCCCGCTAACCCTAGCCCACACAAAAGGTCTTACCTTCTGGCAACGCTTGTAGAGTTGGATTCTTTCATCCTACAAGAAATAACAAGACTAGATTACCCAACTCATCCAGAACAGTCTTAAACACTAACATGATCTTCTTTCACCTATAGGTTTACATGTAACAATACAAACACATTCCTAAAACATTGGCAAATATTAAATAGTTAAAACCCAATAGTTCAGGACATGCAACCAAAGACAAGAAGCACCGCAAGTTAACACATTATGCAATCATACCGTTTCAAACATTTTTCTAGACCTATCACACAGCCTGCATGACAAGCATTACATAACCATTACTTTGAAAAAAGTCTTACCTGTTACTCAAATCGCTAAGTTGGCAGGAGCACAAGGCAATTTCCACAGGAGGCTAAAGCTGCTTGACCCTGAAGCAGGAGCCTGTTGTGTTCTCTGAATCGTCCTGTGTGGTAGCACAACAGTACTTTAGGAAACGAGAAATATTTAAACACTGACAAGAATGCAGCTTTTCACACACAGGGGGAAAAAAAACTGCTAAAGACTGGATTAGTTCAGTACATATTAGCAGCAGATTCCAATTAACCAATCAACCGTCAGGCATTCCAACAGAACATTGTATTAGACTTCACACAGCCTGCATGACATAAAAGCAGTACTGAGAAAGTGTCTTACCTCACATTCAGTTGGCAATTTTCACAGGAGGCTGAAGTCACTTGGCCAGCCTGAGGCGGTTTTCTTCTCTGGACCGTCCTGCGTGGAATCACAGAACTACTTTACCCAACCGGAATTTTTTCCGAACACTGATGGCAGCTTTTTGCACATAGAGGGGAAACTGCAAATATTAAATGAAGCAGCTAAAGAGGGTGGCATACTTCAAGACATACAACTACATATTAGAAGATTCAGTTAACACATTATGCAACAGTCAGGCTCTTGACAGTTTGAAAAAGAACGTTTTATTAGACCTGTCACACAGCCTGCATGACAAGCATTACATATCAGAAACCACACAGGAAAAAAGTCTTACCGTTCACTCAAATCACTAAAGGCTGCTGGTAATTTCCACCGTCACAGGAGGCTGAAATTGCTTGACCACTTCTGGGCATCCAAGGCAGTAGCCTGTTGTCTTCTCTGGACCGTCCTGCGTGGAATCACAACCCATTCTGAAAAATCTTTGAAACACTGACAAGATGGCATCTTCTTGCCCACAAGCCAACGTTATTTAGCAATACTAACACATTGGCCAACAGCAAATAGTTAATCAGCAGATCACGGATCCAAATAGTTCAGGACAGGCCGCAACACTCAGGCATTCTTTACAGTTAGAAAGACATTTTATTAGAGCATTACACAGCTTGTACGACAAGAATTACATTAAAAAAAATACCTTGAAGAACCCAGGCTTCGCCCATCTTCCCGCCAAGATCCATGAGCCTCCTTTGACCTGGACGGTTCTGTCAGTTGAGGTCGACCGCCCATAATCAGCAATTGCAGTTGTGTCTTACAAGACTCTAGAATACATTGACATTTTATTAATTCACTGTCAAAATAACATTCCAGGTACACCGTAAATTTGACTGTCAAATTAGTACATTGCAACACTAAGCCAGTAAACATAAGGTCTTAACCTACAGTGTTGGGGTCACACTGAAGTGTACAGCACTATGAGGTTGACTTCTATTTTTTGTCTCTAGTTTAAAACATCTGTGCAGGAGAAATATTTAAGCAACTATTTCAAATGAATAAAGACATTTTGAAAACACCCACTTGTGATATATTGTGCAACAAACTCCGGTTCAGTTAATGAAAAATTGCGCTTTAATTACCAATTTAAAATGGCAGTTATTACGGTCACAGAAATGTGTATTTAAAGTGCATTTTTAGAGGGTACAGATGCACATACGATTCACTTACACTATGGAACAAACATCACAATCACCAAGCAATTGAAACTGAAAATTATGAAAAATGCTTGCAGTTAAATATATGAGCAGTGGCTCTTTAGTAGTGTACTTGTTAACAACACAAGTCAGTCATACCTTTTGTTTGCACTCATGGCTCCACGGTCTCCACCAGGTTTCTTGCACAACGCATAATGAGTAAATGACAATATTTAAAAAAAATTATCTGCCACAATTTATAAAACCGGGTTACGCAATTTCTCACGGGGAATCCACAGAGGTAGGGCAAACATTTTACACGTCAACTAACCCCTTTGGCCTCCTACTTGTCCCTGAAATTCAGTGGTAGAGTTGAGATTAAAAAGTAATTGCCAAACTCTTGGTCCATGTATTGAAGTGACAGGTTGCCCTTTAACCTAAAGGTTGTCTTCATCTTGCAGTGAAGACATCTAGTGACTTTGGCAAGCCATTTGGAAGTTTTAGCCAATGTTAATCTTGATTCTGTGTGTGGAATCAGCCATAGCAGTCTGAGAAGAGATCACAAGCAATTAGTAAAGTTCAACATGCGAGTAAATCCCGTCTAGGGGTACCATTGGCCGAATTCTATTTGGGCTGTCGACTTCCGATACAAGAGAATGAGGGAGAAAGTTGTAGGGCTGTTGTATTAGACTGCATTAGTTTTAGCTGATGCATAGTTTGTAGATCATATCATGAGAAGTTTAGCAACTGGAAGACATTTGTAACCACCGGTAGGACAGGGTTAAACATTTCCTCATAAATTATCCAACAACCACAGATCAACAGGTGACTGAAGTCAGACTGAGGCAAAAGGGTTCCCCCAGATTAACATTTAGTTAAAATATAGTAAGAATACAAAACAATGAAACCAATTTCCATCAGCTGTAGGAATTACAAAATGCGCCTCTACAAACAAATTGAGTGCTACCGATGACTAGGCCGCACCGGGGTGAGAACGGGGACAGGCTCTGGCACAGGGGGCTCACCGACTTAGTTTCTCCACACAAACAATATAAAATCGAGGCATGCGATGTTAAAAGAAAATGCAGACAAACACAACAGGCAATGGGATGAGCAGATGAAAGGCCCAGTCACCAGACCCACCATCTGGGATGCTACGCTGTCGACAGCCTCAAACACCCCTAAAAAAAAACACCAAAAGTAATCATCAGCAAACTAAATATTACAAACATAAAGAAACTCCAGACAGGAACCAAATAAGCTACACAAAACAGTAGTGGCTTCAAATGCCAGCCTGGAGTTACTTTGAGGCTCCTCTACCTGGTCCGGCTCACACATGGTTTGGGCCTCCCTGACAAGCTGGGAGACACAAACACAACAATCACCAAAGGCCAAATCAGTTTCCTAAGAACTGTAAATGTAAATAAAAATAAATTAAAAAAAACCTACCAGCTCATTGGATTCTCCAGCCAGACTCCAACACAGAAAGGGACAAGCGTGGTGACAGCAGCTTCATTATGTGCAGCTTTTATACCCTTTCTAATGGGTGAACCAGGAAGTAGGAGGTACCAAGGTCTGCCTGAGCCTACGGTATCTCAGGAAGGACATTTCCTCACTGGCTACACATTGAAAAAGATTATTCATTATTCATATCATTCATTTATAGTCGTACAGGCTGAGCTTCTTCACAACAGAGATGAACTTGTCTTGCAGTCTCTCCATTTAGATGATTTTATCAAACTCTGGCCGTGCACCCAGTAAGCCATGGATCAAAATCACCACACTACTGTAGTTTAGCCCATTGTATGCCACACTTTTGGCTAAGCTTGCAGTGTCCTTAGTTAAAGACTTTTGTTTTAGAGGATTTTAGATATCCTTGTTAAGAACATCAATGTGAAGTGTGGAAACATTTATCACTTCCAATGGAGGTCTGATAAAGTCACATGCATGTAAATGATTTTCAATCTGAAATTAATGTCTCTCAGAAAGGGGAAGAAGCACATTTGCTGAAATTGATATATTTTGGAATATGTTTTCTATATTTCTATGGTTGTCATAGATTCTGGTTTATTATTCACAATTTTGGAACACACGTTATCCTGTTATCTACTCTTTTTTTAAAAGAAAACATTAGAGACATTTCTGCAAATCTGCTTTTTTCTCACGCATTTAGTAATGACTGCTACGTTCTTCATGAACTAGTTGTAATGCATAGACTAAATTATATAATCATATACCCATTTTGGGTATACTGGTACACAGTTAGAATTATTAGAAAGATTAAATGTCGATAACTGCTCTCCTTCTCAAATTCAAGTAATGTTTATCTTCATATATATTAATGACACAAGAAATATTACTATAAAGTTCAATAGCAGCCAATCTAAAGCGTAAAATATGAAATGGAATCTGCACCTTACTGAAATCCGACACTACAACCGTCATTAAAGTTTGATTCATTGTAGGACTGCTGTATTAGACTGATTTAGTTTTATTGTTGAAAACTAATTAAAACAAACAAATTCTTCCACCAGATGGAGCCAAATATACATTTTTCCTTTTCAACTTTCACATTACATTACATGTAATTTGGCTGATGCTTTTATCCAGTGTGCATTCAACCAAGAGGGAACAGACCGAGAACAACAACATCAAAGAGAGTAGGAGTGTAGGAGAAAAGGGTGCACAACCAGAAAGTGTGATTTCATCAAATAAGCCAAGTTACAATTTGCTATAGATAAGTGCAAATAAAAGTACAATTTAAGTGCTATAATTTGTTCACCTTTTAGTCAAGGTAGAGTCTGAAGAGGTGTGGCTTTAGTTTGCGGCGTAAAATGTGAAGGCTCTCTGCAGTCCTGATGTCATTAAGAATCTGGTGGTTTACTATGTGTTAAATGCAGCAGAAAGGTCCAGAAGGATGAGGACAGAGGAGAGAGAGGCGGCTCTAGCAGTGTGGAGTTGCTCTGAGACAGCAAGGAGAGCAGTCTCTGTGGAATGGCCTTGAAGCCTGACTGGTGGGGGTCAAGGAGGTTGTTACGGTGGAGATAGGAGGGGAGTTTTGGACAAAAATGGAAGAAGAAAGACGGGTCTGTAGTTGTTTTCTTCAGATGGGTTGAGGGTAGGTTTCTTCAGGAGTGGGTTAGCTCTTGCCTCTTTCAGAGAATTGGGAAAACAGCCAGATAATAGAGCATTGTTAATGAGACAGGTAAAGAAAGGAAGACGGTCAGGAGTGATAGATTGAGGAACATGTGAGGGAATGGGTCAAGAGGGCAGGTGGTCGGACGGGCAGTTCAGCTATTTCTGGTAAGTAGTGACAAAGTCTCCTGAGACGGGGGAGGAGGACTGGGGGTTCGAGAGTTGGAGAAGATAGAAAAGAGTTTTTGGGGTTAGAAAATGAAGATTCAATTCTGGATTGGTAGAAAGAGCTTTGGGAGATCGAAGCAGAAAAAGAGGAGAGAAGAGATTGAAACACAAGCAGGTAATCAGGTTATTTATATTCACGCCATTTCCTTTCCGATGCTCGCATGGTGACTCTCATGGCACGCACCGGTTCAGACAGCCAGGGAGCCGGAGGGGATTTGCCAGTCCGTCGTGTCGTAAGAGGACAGAGAGTCTAGAGAGGAGGACAGAGTTGAGAGGAGTCTCTGCGGCAGCTTTTCGATGCAAGAGTGAAGGGAGATCTGATAGAACAGAGGAAAGCAGAGAGGAGGGAGAGAGGGAGCGAATACTTGTGTACCTTAATTGTGTCCAGCCACTCCTGAACCACTACTTCTGAACCAGGGACAACGTCAGAAGCGTTTTACCTGGGCTAAGGACAAAAGAACTGGACTGTTGCTCAGTGGTCGAAAGTTCTCTTTTCAGATGAAAGTCCATTTTTCATTTTATTTGAAAATTAAGGTCCCAGCTTCTGGAGGAAGGGTGGAGAGGCAACAAACCAAGGTGCTTGAGGCCCACTGTGACGTTTCCTCAGGCAGTGACGATTTGGGAACCATGTCTTCTGCTGCTGTTGGTCCACTGTTTTTTATCAAGTCCAAAGTTAGCGCAGCAGTCTAACAGGAAACTTTAGAGCACTTCATGCTTCCCTGCGCTGATGAGTTTCATGAGTGCATACTGTGTACTGTACATGGACATACCTTTCAGTAGGACAAGATTACTGTTTAAAAAATGTTCTTTAAATTAGGCTATGAAAAATGATGTTTTCCTAATGAATCTGGGGTTTTCATTAGCTGTAAGGCATAATAAGCCAAATTTTAACAAAAAGACGCTTCAAATATACCACCCTGTGTGTAATGAATCTATATAATATATGAGTTTCACTTTTTGCACTTGACTTACTGAGATCAATTCTTTTTTTAATGATTGATGATGCACTTGTCCGCAGAGGTTGCTCTGGATGACAGGTTAGGTTGTGAGACTATGAGGTCTACTTGTTGGACCCTAACTAGATTTGGTGCCACGTTGAGGACAGCTCACTGATCCTCCACTGTTTCCTTTCTGCTTCTCATCCAGCCAGCGCTGAAGAGACAACTGGTGTATCCATTAAGTGGATCCTTTACACCTGCAGGGGCTCACACAGTCTGCATTAAGGTTGTCTCTCTCAGAGGCAAAGCACACCCAGCAGTGTCTGGAGGAGCACTCCAGACACACTCATGATGAGACACAGAGTGGTACTAACTGTGTCTCTGTGTGTTTATATCTGGAAGTGTTGGTAGTGGTACTGTATTTGTGTGTGTGTGTGTGTGTGTGTGTGTGTGTGTGTGACTGGACCAAGCAGCCATAGGGAGTTGATAACGGGATTTCTGATGTGAGGGTTAACAGGCTTTAGGGTCAGAGGTTAACCACTGACACATACACTTACACAGGATGTATCAAAGAAATACAAGCTGCTTAAATGTTCTAGATGTTCTGTATAAATCATAAAAGATTAGCAGCCAAGATGGGAGCTGTGATCATAGCAGGATAACCCTAATGGCCAAACTGTACTAAAATGTAAAACTTTATACAAATGTCCCAGATGCATATAGAACCTCACCATCACTGTTTTAGGACTGTTTTGAAAACACAGACAGTGAGTTGTTCACACAGAGCACAGACCTGAAGCAATACAGCTCATCTGTCTTGACTAACATAGTCTTCTGCAATGAGACGCGCTCACCACCAAAACAATCAAGGTATAAGTGGATAATGCCAAGACCAAGTTCCTAACCACCACACCACCGTGCCACCCGTGATGTATTCACAAAGCGTTTAAAACTAACGGTAAAATTACAGTAAGTGTCTGACAAACATTGTGCAATGCTAACATGCAGTTACTGTACATACATAATTGAAAGTGAGTAGATTAGGATCCTTAACCAGCTTCAGATTTAGGTCAATGAGATCAGTCAGGTGAAACTGCAAATCTCTATAAGCACTTCAGAGCTCACCTCAAGCCTCCAGTATCTTAATGTAAATTTTTCTTCCATCATTTTGGGACTGGAAGATGAGGGCCTGGTTATTTATTTCAGCGACCGCATTTCCTTAGTGTATTCCTTTTTATTTGACAACGTAATTTGACCTCTTTCAAACTTTATACATTCAACACCACACATACTCCCATTAATGGTTTGATATATGTCAGAAGAATTTAGTTCTGGTAACAGAATTCCCAACTAAAGGCAAATTCAAGTTATTCAGCTTCACATGCTTCTTTAAAATGGAACCCAACAGCATAGAGGGATAAGCACTTGAGCCGATGTTCATCTTCTGCTGAGCGCAGCAATGTCCCCCTAAAGGTTAGATCACTCCTGCACTGATGTATGTCCGCATCTACCCACACCTTTGGCTCTGCCCTAAAACAATCCCGTCCTTGCGCTCCATTGGCCCATTCCCGGTCAGGTGGGCAGAGGATGCCTAAAATCCTCTCCTAAGACACGAAAATACTCACATCCCTCCAGTGTTTGCTGCGTCGCAGTTGACGGCACCGGTCAAGAAGGAGGCCGATCAGCTAGGACCTACTTTCATTTTTCCTGACACTTGGCTTTTCAGCAGAGGGGCCCAAGCCGAGGAAAAAGTAGGATGGGGGCTGGAGCGAGCGCCGAGGAGAAACACTCTAAAGAGCTGGAGAAGAAGCTGAAACAGGATGCCGACATGGATGCAAGAACCGTCAAGCTGCTGCTGCTAGGTAAAGACGGTCAAGTTGGATGCAGTAACAGGAAACTTGGACAACCCCTTAAGGCTCCGTTGGGGGGCCATATTTGATCTTGAATCTAGTCATAATGAGACATCACTGTTGCTGGTGCATTACTGTCTCTTGTAAAAACTTTACTTTTCTAAACTACCAACACAGACAGAGCTTAGACATAATTTTCTTTGATCCACCATATTTAACTGTACAACCTTTAAAGTGTACTACATGTCATAGTTTCAAAGCCCGTTTGTTTGTATTAACAGTGATGGAAAACAAATATGTTTGACTAAAGTAAAAGCTTAACATTTTTTGCCATTGACTTAGATGCCTTAATAATCACTCAACTCAATCCCTTGCTAATCCTTAAACAACGAGTCCTCCAACACATGGGGCTTAACCGTGAAGGACACGGATACTCTACTGCCAAACCCAAACACGGCCTGTGGCTACAGCATCCACATAATAACCAGAATAGATCAGAGGGACTATGCAATTAATCCATCAAGCGTGACAATTAGGTTATTTTAATTATGTTTCTTTGGAATTTTTATTCATGTATATGCACATATCTTAATTTTGTATAAAACATTATTAAACTATTCTAGTACCATCTGCATGTTATACCGCTCCGAATATATGTTGGGTGGTTACAAATATAGTTTCACACTCAGCTTAATCATCTCCTCGTGAAAATTTAGGTCAGGGCCAGGGAAAGTTCCACCTGACATCAGCTTTCAGCAAGATTAGACCAGAAGTAAGAAGCATTATGACCTGTTGTGATCCTCTGTGCCATTACCTGCAGTTAATAGCATTAAATAAACATTCAACGTGAATAAAAGCACCAAAATACTAAGAAATAGTCATATTTCTGAAAACCTGCAATAAAGGCATTGATGTGTTATTTATTTCAAAGAACAACATTTCTTGTTTTTCTTGTTGCATGTAGGTGCTGGAGAATCAGGCAAAAGCACTATTGTCAAACAGATGAAGTAAGATATTTGACTTTTGTACGAGTCTCAAATTTTTTCCAACAGCCAGCAAATCATATTCTAATGCTGTGAATGTTCCCCCATCAGAATTATCCACAAAGATGGTTACTCACTTGAAGAATGCCTGGAGTTTATTGTCATCATCTACAGCAACACCTTGCAGTCCATTATGGCCATTGTGAAAGCCATGACTACACTCAATATTAACTTTGGCCACGCCGATCAGCAGGTAACAGCGGACAAAGACATCAATATGTTTTGCCTGAATTGATTTCCGTTTTGTAGCCGACTACTCAACGTTGACTGCATGTGTCCCTATTCTCTTGCATTTGTCCTGCAGGATGATGCCAGGAAACTCATGCATCTCGCGGACACCATTGAAGAAGGCAGTATGCCCAAAGAGTTGGCGGACATCATTATACGCCTGTGGAATGACTCTGGCATACAGGCGTGCTTTGACAGGGCCTCAGAGTACCAACTCAACGATTCCGCCGGATAGTAAGCCATCACACAAGCATCGATGTAAAATTATCCCATTATTTTTTTGTTATTGAATGACTTTTTTTTCATCCCTCAGCTACTTGAACGACTTGGAGCGGCTGGTCCAACCAGGCTATGTGCCCACCGAGCAGGATGTGCTGCGATCAAGAGTGAAGACCACTGGCATCATCGAGACAACGTTTTCCCTCAAAGATCTCCATTTCAGGTGAACCGGTGCAGTATTTCTCAAGCGGACGGCACCAATGACTCTCTGTGCTGGCGTGAAAGATCAAATCTATGCTTGTTTCCCTGCAGAATGTTTGATGTGGGTGGCCAGAGGTCAGAGAGGAAGAAGTGGATCCATTGTTTTGAAGGTGTGACATGCATCATCTTCATCGCCGCTTTGAGCGCTTACGACATGGTGCTGGTGGAGGATGATGAAGTGGTATGGTTACAGTATTCTATGCAGTCCCTCTCTTCTCTTTTTTGCTCAATCAATAGCGGGTTAATTTGAATGATTCTTCACTAAAAACACAACTTTTTTTTTTCAGAATCGAATGCACGAGAGTCTGCACTTGTTCAACAGTATCTGCAACCACCGCTACTTCGCTGCCACCTCCATTGTACTCTTCCTCAACAAGAAAGATGTGTTTCTTGAGAAGATCAAGAAGGCTCATCTCAGCATGTGCTTCCCTGAATATGATGGTGGGGTTGATCAATTCTTAGTACAGTTGAGTGCTATATAAAGTGGCAATTCTTTCAATGCGCCTTATAATCGTGATTTGTCTTGCATAGGCCCCAATACGTTTGAGGATGCTGGTAACTACATCAAATTGCAGTTCTTGGACCTGAACCTGCGCCGAGACATCAAAGAGGTCTACTCTCACATGACCTGTGCCACAGACACAGAGAACGTCAAGTTTGTGTTTGATGCCGTGACCGACATCATCATCAAAGAAAACCTGAAAGATTGTGGTCTCTTCTGAACACCGTGCTAAGGAACCAAAGGAGGGCAGGTAAAGTTTGCTCCTTGTTGTAATGATCACTCATAATCAAACTTTTGGACCAGCTCATGAATCTTGTTTTCTTTTCATTTTCCAGAGTGGTGTTTAGGCCCTGGTCACATTCCACAAATCCCCCCTCAATTTAAACTGAATACCGAAGATGAAACCCATGGTACTCAAACCAGGGAACACAAAAAACAACTAATTGGTAGCTATGAACAAAGACTGTGTGTCAACTGAGACCAGAAGTCAGAAAATCCTGTACCGATTTCAGACCAGTTGATTTTAGTCAGGCTAACTTTTCTCACAAGTCTCATGCACTCCGTAGTAGAGACATCAAAAGCTGCTTTCAGTATAAAGTGACTTCTCAAAATGTACTAATTTGAACAGATGTCAGGCTAATGCATTTTGGCTCAATGAACTGGTCAGCCTACAGCCAAAAAGGAAACGAGTGGGCCTCACTACCAGCAGACGTGCTTCAACCTAATTTTGAAGAACTTGTCAGTAGAAACGGTAGAGATTAGGTACAGAAGCTCTGCAGCGGAATTTGACACACAATTCATTCATTTGTTAAAAACACACTTAAGATTTAAATAATGTAACTTTTATAGTTTTATAGTTATAGTTGAAAGGGGCCAGTGTAAATAATTACACCGTTTTTCTTTGGAACTGTAACCATGCAACAATGGTAGACTAAATTTAATTGAACAAACCTTTTCTTAAAATATGTGAATCTACAGGTATTTGAGCCGATCATTGTGTAAAGAACATATGTGTAAACCTTGAGAAAACCTATTAAAGCTTCTGTAGAAAAATGAGTGCTTTTACATTTTTCACCATTAAAAACAACACAGCAATGTCTTCTTCATAGTTATTTAATAATTCTGGTTATTTTTTAGTATTATGAAACCACATGTTCAGAGGTAAACAGCCTTTAATTTAAGACAGCTTGGAGGCAGATTGACATTTTGGGAAATAAACATATTTTCTCTGCCAACTAGCATCATATAAGCTTTTTTTTTAAAGATAGCCCATTCACTCTGTCCTGCTTTTGTGCTTAACAAACCTGAGCTGCTGAGAGGGGGGCCATTTCACCAAATTTGCATGAAGACATCCATTCATATTCTCATAATCTTTCGGTTCCACTATAAATGGAACAGTTTAGCACAGCGATTCTCAAAGTTTTTAGGCCACGCACCCCCTTCTACATCCCAACTGGGTTCATGCCCCCCTATCCCCAGACATGAAAAGAAAAAAAAAATGCAGCTTGAAGCACTGCTGAGCAGTTATAGAAACTGAGGTTGTTTGGTACAATATGAACCAGCCCAGAAGAGATGCCTCAGTAGAGCTTTAAACATATCCAACATCACCTCTAACGAGGCATCACAGAACAACTGTGCTCATTGTGGTTATTCTTTGACTAAGACAACCAAGTTGGAAGATCTGCTATACAAATACCTAAGACATTGTAGGCAACAACATTATGAGAAAGTATTTTTTATGAAAGCATTAACCATTTTAGTTTTTCCTTTAAACCCTGAGTTCTCACCGCATGGCAAACAATGGGTATGTTGATGTGCAATTATGTGACAGATAAACAGAACGAACAGAAAATGAAAACTTCCAGCTACTCTAAATCAGAACAAACTATGAAGGAGAGACTGTAGTAATACATCTGACAGGAAAATGGTTGAGAACAGACGTTTTCACTTATTGTTGTTAAAAAATACATTACATGGCTTTTTTCATTGTGTCTTTAAAAAAAAGAGCTCAATGCCATAGTCAGTGTAAAAGCAGTACATACACATGGAATGACATCTACTGTGCAATATTGACAATGGCCTCAAAAAATTAAATGTTCTTCAGAATATGTGCTGCTGAAAAATGCAAGGCACTTTAAAATCATTCTGAGCCGTTCTCCTCATTGTTGTTATTTGTTCAAGTGCAGCCCTTTTGTAAAAGAACTGATAAATTCAAGTGAATCCATTTCCCAGAGGCACTAATCATCATATGTCGGGGGATATTTTTCTTTAGGCTATACATGGTACATGTGTGGCTAGATGGCACTTATCCCAGTAACACATTGTGATTCACAGCTCAGCTGTACAAACAAATATCCACACACACACACACACACACACACACACACACACACACACACACACACACACACACACACACACACACACACACACACACACACACACACACACACAATGTAACACACTCATACCTTAACAAACAGTTAAAGAGACAACAACATACCAGTAATCTAAAATCCACTCACGCCATGTCAATTGATCACCAGGCAAGCAGCAACGAAGCCTGACCCCTCCTTATCCGGCACAAGAGCTGTTCACCTGCGTTGACCCCGTAATCACCCACCAAAGAGCAGAAATCCCACACACTGTGGGTGGAGCCTCTTTCTCAGAAAAGTCCCACCATGTTATCGATCTGCCTCATATAGACGCTCTTCAGTGGTAGAGTGTATCGTCGCTCTTCTGGGATCCTGTTGCACTGTCAGAGAGAGAAAGGTAAGATAGAATGCATAAGAAAGGGAAGGGAGCATAATACGAAATTGGGAGCACGTTGATCGTCTCTCAACATGGCAATAACCGTAGCCAGCGGCTCATAGCTAACGGTGCTAACATTACAAACTAACATATGACAGCAGTGCTGATAGAGGCACGCTCATGTGCACTAAAAGCACATGCGGTGCGCCCTGCTATATGCACAAAGAAAGGAGAAGCTTGAACAACAACACACACAGAGAGGAAGAGTTCAGCAAGCTCTGTTCCGATAAACATTACTTCACTAGATCTACATAGCAAATAGATTGTTTTATATTGTTACCCTGAACTGTATATTGCTCCTTAAAAATGCACAATATGGTGGCATATTTTAAAAATACTGAAAAGGACCAGTGACCTGGCGAGGACGGGGGCCTTACATTGCTGGTTTTGTTCGGAGGAGGCCGGTTGATTGGCTCTTGTTCTGCCAGCACTCCCTCTTCACAGGGAAACAAGTCGTTCCACTGTTTCTCCCTGAAGCGCTTGTCTATCGGCACAACATGGCCCTCTGTAGTGAAGATGTACTTGTTGTCGGATTTGTGAAGAGGGTTGTCCTCATCAAATAGCTGAAATGCAGGAGAGATGAGAATTAAATTCATCTGGGTATGCAACAGTTTATTTTAACAGAAAAGGCAATTTAAGGATGCAGCGTTGAACAGTGTGTAAATGTATTTCTTAATGTATTTAAACAACAAATTAATTATTTCTAGAAATAATCTCAGGGTTCGGGCCTATAAATGTACACATTCATTGTAGGGATCATTTATTTTAAATATAATAATATTGTGAAATTAGATTCTAATCAACATTTGCTAAACTAGATTCGTCCAGTTTGTGACATTGTAATCCAGAATCACAAAGCTCTTTCTATGCCTCGCTCAGGCCATTACTTACCAGGTAAAGGTATTTGCACGTCTCACTGAGAAAGAAGCTCTCCATGCGATCCTCTTTGGATTTGTCCACGACATGGTGGAGAGTGGCGTACCCACATCTGCAAAGGAGAAGCTCAGATCAGCTTATTGTATCAAATCGTTGTAAATTCCCCCTAGAGGTATATACGTCTATGCGTATATGAATTAAATGTACATTCCACACCTGACTTTGGCATTTTTCTCAAGGCTCTGAAGAATATCCTTTCCAACATGCAAATAGAAAGGATTTTTGGTCGCCTGTGGGACACGAAGGAAAACCTTGAGTAAAAGATAATGAACCGCCACCACCGCCGCCACTAGTGCTGTATTTCAACAGGTGAGTACCTGGTACAGGAGGTAGGTTGACTCAGCCAGCTCTGGTCTCAGGGGGTAGAAGAGCACATCAGGAGCCTGCAGCTGCCAGTTGTATCTCTCTGGCAAAGCCCCGAAGCGCTTCCAGATGGCGTAGTAGAAGGCATGCAGGCAAATCGCATTATCTACATCACCATTCAGCACCTGGCACACAGAGTGGCAGCACAAAACAACAGTTGGACGCGACAAAAGGTATTTTACAACACATGTTTACACAACCGGTCGTGTGTGTTATCTAACCTGCAGCCCAGGGAAGAAGGCCTGAAGGGAGTCGATCCAGGTGTTCATTATTTCACCACTGAACATATTCACATTAACATACAGAGGTGGGTCACCCTCTCCTTCATTACACGACTCTCTTCTGGAAAAACACAGAGGTGAAAGAACGTTATGACACACTATAAAGTTGTTTGTGTTTTTGCTATCGACATCAAAATCAATTCTCATCAAAATGAATGTGTTGGATGCAGAAGTAACCACAGCTCCCCTTCTGAAGGGTTTTGTCCCCAGCTCAAGGGCTATTCAATAGTCGTTACTAAGGCGGAAGAAAGTGTCAAGTTTCTTCAGGATTCAGCTCACCTGATCATTTGGAGACAAACAATGCTAAATATTTCTTTGTTTGGCCAATTTATGAAAATTATTCTTATCATTATTATTTCCCATCTCAGGTGCGCCCTCTTGTAAAGCTGCCGGTCACACCCACTGTCACCCAAATATGCTCTGTGTCACATTCTTTCAGCGCGTGACTCACCCTCTCCTCATGTGGCTCTGAATGCTCTCATAGGCTGCTTGGAACATCCTGTGATCTTCTTTCTCACCAAACAGGATGTACGATTTGAGCAAATACTCATAGAAGGAGTCCATACCGGCTCCCAGGCCACTCTGCTTGCCAACCCACTGGCCTGTTTGGATATTAACTACATTCCCTAAAGAATGACACAACAATTACAATTGCAGGCATCACAACTACGTGTTGTAGACCTAACCACTCGGAGTAGTAGCCTTAATTAAACAAACTAGTTATCAAGAGCAAAACCCTTTTTGTGTAACTGCACAGCTGAGCTTACCTAACAGACCGGTTTCGTTGCTCCGCAGGTTCCACAGAGCTCTGACGGCTCGCCTGGCCACCCATTCGAATGTGGAATCTCCTATCAAGCGGCTTAAAATCCCAAACTCCACCAGCAAGGACCCGGCTCCTGCCGTGCAAGTCTCATTGATGCTATCAGGAGGAACTCCAGTCTTCAGGTTCACCTGAATTTTAGAAAGAATCAATGAAGAGAGTTAGTCTCTACAGTAGGGTTAGGAAGTCAAGTCACTTCACTTACACGATAACCACTTTAGGTGGAGCTACACAGCCTCACTCACCCTGGGGTAGGGAATGCCTGTGCTGGTGTTCTCGAAGGCGGGCAGCAAGCGGACGGCCAAGTCGTGAGCCAAGTGAAGCAGCTCGTTATCGTACCCATCGAAGCCAACCTCGCCGAATGGATGTTTTGGGTCCGTCAGCAGGATGTGGGATGAGATGAGGCTTCCCAGGATCCTTCAAAGACAAAGGGGGACGTTACTCTGGGGGTCGCACTCGGAAGCAGGTTCTGAAAAAAAGATTGCACGTATTTTTTAATCAAATCAAATGTTCAAATAAATTGCCTCGGAAGCAAATCATATTATGATCAAGGTCATGGGCGTGTTCACCAAGCTTCTCCTTTTGTCTACTCAATTCCATTTATTTTGACCCTGAAAATATTAGCAACATTCATACCTGATGTTTGCCTCAAACACTTGCACAGTTGAGTCCTTGTCAAAAGACACAGTATCTATAACCAGCTTAACAGCCCTTTGGAACTCCGTCACATTGCCGAGCACCTGTAAAGGAAAAAGCATGTTATGTAACCACATTAAGCTGCATAATGAAGTTTATTCAATTGCATAAATACAAAATGGCTGCCAGGTAGATGCTATATTCACATTATTGTAATTATCAACAGCAACTAACTGGCTAAAAACTTGAGCTATGTTACAACCCCATAGAAGTATATAGTGTATGTTTATGAAACTGGAACATATTCATGTGTAGAAATGAGGTTGTGCTTTCGGAGACACCAGGTCTATTGGCTCAACCTGACTCCATGTCACTAAGAGTTTTGAGGGTGACAGAAAACACACTAGCTAACCAATGAGCGCCCGATTGGCGTTCTAAAACACTGCTTATTACAAAACAGGTGATGGTTTGAATATGGGGTGAACTCACATCGTTTAGCTCATTTATCTCAATATATAGCCAAATGCAAACATCATTATTACCATCAATCCTGCTATTTTTGAATTTTCAACTTTGACTCTATGAGAGCCGTGATAAAGAAGAACTCTGCTGACGTTCAGGACATTGTGTGACATTAGGATGAAGCACTACTTACCAGTAGGGTATCTAATGTGTCAATCAGGGTAAGGGAGTAGTTTCCCAAAACATCGTTTATGTTAATGTTTGACCTGAAATGAAAGCAGTGAAACAGACACAGCGCCGTCATTGCAAAAGAGGAACAACAAATGAACAGACATTAATATAGAGAGTCTTGTTAATTCAACAACAGTAGTCAAGTGGTCTGTAAAAGTGGGAATGTAAAATCTTAAGAACGGGTACATAACATACCAGGTAAAAAAAATATATATGTCCATCTTAAATAATCTGAAACCACATACAGTTATTTCAAAGATTTAAACATAACATGGTGCTTATTCTATTTGTGACATCCTCATTATCAGTAGAGGCTCACTGCAACTACTAATTATATCCATTATCAGTTAATCTTTAGGTCTACTCGATTATCTAATCCTTATGGTCTATAAAAATATTTGCAAACACTGCACTGGTACCGTGTTGTATAAAAACCGTTGACCCCAAAAGTGCTATTTAACAGCCTAAGGAGTGAATCTTCAATTTTCAGCAAAGGAGAATAACATGGACACGTGTTTCAGGTTCTCGTTTACTCCCCTGAGTAGAACAAAATAACTGGGTTATGGGTATGGATACACATCGCATGCTTTCTGGATTTCCTTTTGCCCTTTTTGTCATTAGTTGAGTGTGATGTGTTTAAGAGCTCAACGTGACTTGATTAACCAAGCAGCTAATCAATTTATAATCCATCCAAAATGTGCCTAATCTATTACTTTGTGATGAACAAATGATCCTAATCAGTTAGACTTAAATTAAATCAAGTCCCCCCCCCCAGTTTACTGTACTGATCAAAATGCAAAAGCTTCACTTCACCGAGCAGCAGCAGGCAAATCAGACCATGAACTCTACGCGAATAGCGTAGAGGACAGTTAGGATGTGACAGCGTCCTGTGCGTTACAAGTGCGGCCGGGATGAAACCACCAACAACACCACAGCTATGAATACACGTTTATTAAAAGGAAACATTAACCTGCCGGTGCAGAGGGCTGTGAATGACTCACGGGTTTAGCACGTCAGGTCCCCTGCCTTCACAGTCTATGGGGTTCAGTTCGTCCTCAGGAAAGGCATACTTCATGTAATTGTCGTACCCGAAATAAAACATCTCTTTGGCCATGTCCTTCATTTGGGCTTTCAGGGTATCCGGGAAGGAGCCGTATTTGCGGGCGTACTCGTCCTTGTCGCCGTCGAAGAAGCTCAGGTAGGATCTGTTGGGGGACTCCACTTCAACCTTCGCCCACATGGTCTTCGCCTCTTCATGCCCGTGGCCGTGAATTCGTTGAGACCACGAGTTGCCGCTCGGATCTGTCCCCTTTTCGTCCCTTAATAACGCGTCTAATTTGTGTAAACTGAAACTAAGTGGGAAGTTGAACCCCAGGCTAACGTTATGTCCGAGTCCGAAAGCTAACCACAGCACACAGCTGAGCGACAGTCTCAATACGAGCAGACCGACTACCAATGACCTCCATTGCATATTTGCCCCTGTTCGATCTTTAAACGCATAATTTAAGTCCACACACGTCTGGGGGATGAATGACTGTGGGCTCCTCTCTTGTTTTGTCAGGTGAAAACAGACGAGCTGTGGTGATTCCACCCCATACGCTTCCTGTCAACAGATCCGGAGCAGTGATTGGCTTTTCTGTTTTGGCGTCACACAACACGGTAAAGCGGGATCGTGCTGCGATTGGCCGCAGAGCTGTCAATCTCCCGGTTGCGTTTCGTGGCAGTCCTTACGTGTCTCAATTCAACTTCTGCCCCAATAGAAAATAGCCACCAGAGTGAGACGTTCAGGGCGCACCGCTTTAAAAGCGAAACGGTTAGGTTTAGTTGGATCTCTACACATAATATATATATATATATTTCTTCATAAAAAACAGATTACTGTACTAAAAGTCTCCACGCACCTATACAGTGACATTGTTAAGAAGTTGCTTAACAAATAACAGGACAATGTCTTAGATAAAAGCATGCCTTTTTATTATTTGAATATATACTGAATGGTAGTTTTTTTTGTTGTTGTTTTTTACTCCTCCCAGGTAGGCAAACCTTGCATGCTGCTTTGCTTCAGGAGGTGAGAGACATTGCACAAGGCACTTTGAATTCTGCCACTATCTCAACTGCGAGGCAGCAAGAAATCATTTCACTGAGGCTACTTACAAACAGAGGCCTATTTGCATCTTTTAGTACATTCAGACTTTAAATAGAATCAAATATCCACACACGCAAATCTCACATCAGTAAAAATCATACTAGCTTGATATTTGTACAGACTAAATACAGAGCTTTCTAAAAACCTTTTTTCCCCATAAGAAGAAATCCCGATCAGGCAAAGGATGATACTCATCAGGTCACACAGCAGAGCTTGATAGCCATCTTTGTAAATTACATTTATGTGAGGTCTGTTGGACAGCATCATCCTTTAAGAGGGTGTTGTTGTATACCGAATAAGCGTTATGAATAACACCGGGTAACAAAAAAGGTTAATGCCTAAACGGCGGGCCAAAATTATTTTCCAACTCCCAAGTTAAAGAACAGCTTTACCGGACAAATAATGCCAACAATAATTCTTAAATTTGGTATGAGTCACATCTTTAGTAGTGCATTAGAATTTGGAAAGACCCACAAGGTGAAAGGGAGCGAAAATACAAGTGTGTCAGGAGCAGAACAGAGCAGCATGTGAGTTTAGGTGAGAGTTGGGGAGGGTGGTGGGGTTTGTGGGGCATAGCTGGACCACAAGTCCATTTTCAGCTCCTCCTAGATTTTGAGTGCTGGATGAGCCACTGAAGTGTGATGTCTGCAATCAAAAAAACGTGCTGGGTCAGTTTGAGGGGCGCATTTGGATTCAGGCATTTTACCAGCAACACAAGGCATGGTTGCTTACAACTTTGGTGAAAAGCTACACAGATCCCCATGAAATAGTGTCACCATCATAATTACAGTTTCACATAATGAATACCCTCACTTATACTGCACAAAACCAAAAGGGACAAAGTTTACAATGAAACTTGTTCATGAATGTACAAAAGAAAAAGAAAAATCTACGAAATGATTAAATACAATGAAGGTTGTGTAAATTGTTGCATTATGAATGTATCAAGCAACTTAATAGGATATTTCGTTTCCTCAACAGACACCGTAAAGTCATTAATTTCAACTCACCAATGTTGTCTTTCTCTTTGCAGGAAATTGAGTAGCAGCATATCTCTCTGTCCTGAATTGCTGCTAGATTCCTTTAAAGGCAGAATAATGTCCATGAAAAAAAAATCATAAGAGAAGTATGCATTCAGGCTGATCTTCAATACCACACCCATCTTTTTGATTCTGATCTGCAGTTGCACGCCACAGTTTATGACAGCAGAGGGAGCCGGTTCCTGTCAATAAACTACAAATTGACACAGCTCCAGATAACCAAACCACATAACCAAAAAGGAATGGAACAAGCAATTGGTCCAAATTTTAATTATTCTTATCTTCAGCATGAAGGTAGCTAAACTGATATAGGATTAAACAAATCCAAACAGTTACAGGAAGGTTTAAAATGTATAGACATAGTTTGTTTCATGATATTAAGAGTCTACAGTAGATAGAAAAGACAAATATGGGCACTTAACATATTTAATTTAACTACAGCGTTAAATTAAATATGTTAAGGGCTTTGCACCATCTTGCATACTTACATTTTCTCAATCAGCTGCTTTTCATCTAGAGCACTGGGAAGATCCCTTTTGTTACCGAGAACCAAAACCTAAAAAGGCAACAATGAATCACTGGCAGAGCCCAGACATTGTTTTGCATGACTGGTGCAAAAATCACACTTACAGGAATTCCTTGCAACTGAGGTTTGTCTAATAAATTATGAAGCTCATTTCTAGATGCCTCCACCTTTCCTTGATCTGCTGCATCAACCATGTACCTAAAAATGAGCAACAGCAACGTTATTGGTAAGAAGCGTTTAGACGGTACGTCGAGATTAACACGGGCGGCTCATTAGATCTATTCTCATTTATTTTTCAGACAAACTTGAAGTTGAAGCCGAGATACTCACACGATTGAATTGACTCCCCGACAGTACCGCTCCCACATGCTCCTGAACCTGGGCTGGCCTCCTATATCCCAGATCTATAGGTACAGGATTAGGGGCACTTAATCAATAATGAGTGTCTGCTTGTAGAACCAGTGCACTGGTTTCTCTTCATTCCTTATTGCTACAAACACTATGATTAAACAGAAAGACTAAAATACCTTGATAGTCACGTTTCCTTTAGTGACTTTCCTCATATTGAACCCGACTGTAGGGATCATGTCTTCGCTGAAATGCCCTGACTGGAAGGAAATGCACAAGTCTTATAAAACTGTGTTGGAAGGGAATAGATGCATATTTACATAATTCATTTACTAGTAACACAGTATATTCCACTTTACATTTCAAAATATCCCATTATGTACTTTAATGTACATTAAAGTACATAATGGGATATGATCTGAGAGGAATAAATAGGTGTACGTTGACATATAAACATCAAGTTTAATTGATCAGTCGACTTTATGAAAGATATATACTAAATATAAAGGAAACAGTAGGAGTCAGGTGGAGACTAATTATTTGATAAAATGAGTTCATTAGGACTGTTGTTTGGGATCTCTTGTACTTTTACAGTTTCACATACTTTTAGTAGCTTGAAGTCTAATGCTGCTCACTATACAGCATTTCAGAACCAAATGGACTACAAAAACGTAGTATATGCTGCAATACATGGCTGGAATCTAGTTTACTCTATCTAATCCTGTGAAAAGGCAGACTAGTATTTGTGAAAATCAAAAATGTTCTCTTACAACTAATAGGGCTAAATATTTTTTCACCAAAATGACAAAAAATACAAAGACTATTTATCATTGGTTCTTGCTCATTAATGCAAACAGAAGCCAGGCGCATTCCCCCTTTAAGATCCAAACTCAACCTTTGTTCTTAAAGCTGTTTTCGTGCACCGTCTGCTCTACACACTTTTCACAGCACATGACCTTTTGGAGTCAGCTGATGAAGCTAAGTGGAAGTGAGTGCAGCAGTCTCATGACTAGAAAGGAGGATGCCCCCCCCCCTTACAAACCATTCATGCAGTCTTTTGTGTACATCTTCAGTGTGAGATAAAAGTATAAAGCTTATTTTGAGTTACTCGACTTGCTCTTACGGCACAAGTCCTGTTACCTGAAAACCATAAATCCAATTTAACAAGCAAAACCAGTCGAGACATGACGTTCTCTGAAATGTACACTGCTTTGTCCTGAGCAACATTTACATCAACTTTAGAAGTTAGAACTCCTCTGGTAAAGGTGACACACACATTGTACTGTTGATATTTACTTTATTACTTGTTTTCTGAAATTTCTTGTTTTGTCCAACCAATTGGAAAAATACAAATATTCAGAGTATAAAGATATAAAACAAAATAGTATCAAACTGTTTAGGGTTAGGGTTAGCAGTTAGCAGTGATTATATTCCTATCAATTACTAGTTCAACAATTCGATTGCTTTATTGCTTCAGCTCTATTTTGAGATATGCATCAAATTCAACCAAAATTCAAAACCCTGTCAATCCCGTGGAAAAGTTTTTTGCTTTTTAACATTGTGTACTTACTGAAACTGAAAGGACAAAAATTGCACAGATTAAAATAACTCAGAAATCACAAAAGGCCGCCATAGTCTCAAGGGAAGCTTGACCGGGGGTCAGAGAGCGGGCGGGGTGAAAGCCATGTGTGCAAAATGTCATGACAGACATTGCTCCTGCAAACTGATGAACAAGTACAAACGTGATTCTTCAGCTCACTTTTACACAATATGCTGTTGAAGTGATTGGCCAACACCGCCAGCAGAAACCGGCTGGTCTTTAGAAATCTTAAGCTTAAAGTTGCACAAACGAAATGGCTCTTAGAAGAAAAGAAAAAAATGCTCTCTAGTCCCAAAGACAGGAAGTCACACCAAAAGATACAATCCGTGTGGAAATGTACCACAATTTGTATGTAAAGCTGCTGCAGTATAAGTGATTCTGTTTATGTTATTTGCTACATTGTTTTGTGTTACTGAACACCTGCATTCAGGCAGCAGATCTTTTTTGTAAATATGTCAACGAGAAAAAAAAGTTATGTACACATTCAAAAAACAAGAGACCCAGTCTGTGAGTCACCTCTTCAGGATCACCTTTGACTTCTCCACCGTGCAAGACCTGCGGGCCTGTGTGTGATCAGCTGTTGTTATGGTCAACAAGCTTTCATGTCACCGCTTTCGTCTAACAATCCCCACGGTTTGGTGGATGTATAGAATTTAACAGATGCTAATACGCGTGTGCTGCGATCCACCAGCAGCCAAACTAGTTAGCTCAGCCGACTTGTTGACAGAAGTCCAACAATTGGCTGAGTTCCGGGGCTGTTTTTTTATGGACAGAGTAATCTTACGTAACGTTAGTTATTTAGACCCGAAAACCAGTGCGTGTAGCAAAGACATACGTTAGCTTAACTCTTATCCCATTATTAGCGCTAATAGTATTAGCAATACCCCGAGCGAGGTTAGCTAGCAGCTGATCAACTTACAGCGATCACGTTTACAAATGTTGTTTTCCCCGAATACTGCAAACCGACCAGCGTCAGCTCCATCTCCTCCTTCCAAAACAGAGCCTTGAACCAGTCCAAAAGCCGGTTAATTAGTGCCAGCATCTTGAGGTCGGGTGTTCACTCGCCTCTGTGGTCCTGTGTGCCTTTCTCCCTCCCTGTCAGATGTTTCCCATTGAGGAAGGGAAGTGGTGCGCAGGCCGCTGTCATGTGTCATATGATTAGTCTGCAGGAAGGTGCCCGGCAGCGCCCCCGCTGGAGCGCAGGGGAAGTGCACACAATAGTGAAACACCCAGAGGCTGTTTGGATTCATTTTAGGCCTTTTACCCAAAAAACAAAAATCCCATGAATATAATTATAATATCCACCTTTGTTCACTGTCCCTACATTAAAGCATACATCGATACCAAAACAAACACACAAAGGGGGTCAAACTCCTGATTTCAGGGAAATCATTTTTGAAGGGGTTAGAACAGTATAAGATATACTATCAAAATTGACATTAAAATATATCAGTCACTTTTTAAGAAATGTGTCTTAAAATTATCCAAAAACCCTAACCCAACTTTAAGCCTTTTAGTTAGTCATTATTTGAATAAAATAAGAAAAAATAACTACTCTCATCCAAAACTCTGAATGAATGACTTGGGTCGTCTAAAATAAAATATGTCTGATAGTGGTTTCAAACTTTCATGATTAAACCTTCATATATTGGTCAGACAAATTAAGGTATTTAGCTTTCTGCTGGAGGTCAACCCAGGGACCTTTTAATTACAAGTGTGCATCTCTGTCCTTAATCGGTTTCTCTATACCATTGCACCAACATCATTGGTAAACAGACTCATCATGTCATTTTACACTTGTTACCAACAAGTGGTGACTTTTTACAGACATTGAAGGCTCAAACTGTTGCTGGTCTTGGATTCCTCTTGCATGATAAACTCAAGCCCACTCTCCTCCTTTGACAGGTGAAATTCACTCGCATTGGTGGAGACTCCAAAAAATTCATCAGGATTATCTGGATTAGAAAATGGATAAAAATGAAATATTTTGAAATCAGAACCATCATCATATTGCAAATATGCTGTGATCTTAAACTGTCTGTATCCATCAGCTTCAATCAGATTCGCACACCCCACTCCTAATTATGTGCTATGGGTGTTTAGTTTCATCTAGACTGAGATTTAATTTCATTAAAACATAAATGATTTGTCCCCATTTTACTTATTCCTAACTAAAATATAAGATTGTGCTTTTGAAAAAAAAAGAGTAAATAACTGAAAAAATGTAAAATATGAACAGCGATTTCCAAGAAGTTAAGGACTGCATGTGATCCTTCTACCTTTATCTAAACACTCTATATACATCCAGCTAGATGTAGATATGTATTCCCATTAAGGCCCACTTACATGCTACGTGCTTCCCCCGGTTCTTCATACAGCCATAAAACACAGACACAACGAGGGTGAGAGAAAGGAAAACAATGGCGATGCAAAGGGTCAGACGATTGGAGTCCATTCCTTCTCTCTGCGTCTCTGGTGAAACATCAAGCTGAGGCTCACACGTATATAAATACTTTATCAATCCGTCATCCAAGGTTTTGTCTGTGAAGACAGAGAGACAAAGACAAAAATGAGTCCACCACCAGAGGTTCTATCAATACTCTTTATTTGTGCAATAATGTTTCAAAATTGGGTCCAGACTGAATTACCGTCAGTAATTGCCATTTTCATGATGTTTTGTGCAGACAATCATAAAGCCTAGAAGAGGATATCTAAACTCTCCTTGATATTTTCTTTATCGCCACCATGAGGTTGACTTTTTTTTTCTTTTGGAAATATTGTACTTTGTGTCAAGTGCTGAGGAGCAAATGTAACCATAATAATAAGAGGGTGCACATGTTGAACATTATACTGTTTCAGCATTGGCCTGTTAGCATTGGGAGCATGTTTTCAGGTCAAACCACAAATGACGGGACCGGTGCAAAGGTCTTGTGATGTTATGTTCTGTCATGACTTAAACAAAGAGTTCATGTTTGAGTTCTACGTCAAATCAAAGCACGAAAACACATGCCCCACGGCAATGCTTGCACTACCCGAGGTTTCATGTGACAACACTGTGGCCAAATTCTTAACACTCAGCTTTCTGGACATTGTTTGACTGCCCTCCTTTTACTGATTTGTAACACAGAGGGCCCACATTACCACATCGAATAAAAGTGTGACAGCTATTTGGGATAACCTCCCCAATTGTGTGGGGGAACTGTGTGTGATATTAACAGAATGTAGGAATATTTTGACAATTTTTCAGTTTTAATTAATTATGTGTCATGTGGTCCAGAAATACAGTTGCAAGTTACTGGTGCAATATCAAATGATTAAAAAGTGGACTGAGTGGATTCCAACATAATAGTATGCGGCTGTTATATCTATTAGCACACCCTGACCCCCGTTACTAGACACAAAAAACTAATAAAAAAGTATTTCACATCATCAAACCAGCAGCAGTCCATTTAAAACGTAGGTATTTGTTAAAAGAAAAAAATAATTCAACTCACCTGTCCTGTTCAGTTTTTCCCCTATGACACATTTGTTTTCTTCACACTTTGAACAGATATTGTTGGAACACAAGAAACCAGAGCGGCACGAACAGTTTGTATTTGTGGTCGGTGTACATTTCACAGAAACATCTGTAGACAGACAAGAAATCCGAGCACAGGACTTCAAGTAAAAGTGTTTTGTGCTCAAACACATTATTTAGATTTATGATTTAAATGCATTGACTACATCAACTGTTGTTACACTAAGTACACACAGAGAGCAGGAATATCATTTTTCCTTTCAAAAATTCTCCATAAATTAAGGTCTTACCTTGTTGGCAGGACCGACATTCCTCACAAGTGTCAAACAAGTTATACTTGTGCGAGAAGAAGCCCTTCTTACAGGGGAGACAAACTTTCTGTGAGCAAAAACCCTCCATGTACGTACCTTTAAAACAAGAAACAGATGAAATTGGTGACTCCCAAGAAAACAGATGTAATCCACACACTTTAGCAGAGTTCCTATTAAACACATTCGATCTTGTTGATGAATTAGGTTTTACCTGGGGGGCACAGTTCACAGCATCGGCCATCTACCAGCCTCTGTCCATCACCACAGGCTGCAGCTGTTGTCCAGACACTCAGTGCACACATTAGCGCCAGAGAAAGGTTCTGAGGAACCATTTTGACCAGTGCTGGGCTCGTGTCTTCATGGTTTTATAGTCTGTTTGGTGACGTCAGAGTGTGGTTAGCTTGCCGAGAGACACTGTGTGAAACATCTACCTCAGGAAGTGAAAGACCACTGGACGTGTCACTAGAATTAACTGAAAAACAGTATCTAGTTTATTTAGTTCTTTTTCTTTTTTTTATTGAAGATGTCCCGTGGGATATTATTTAAATGTTTTTTTAACAAATCTTATTTTGCCAGGTGTTTGTTCATCAAAAGCAGAGCGCGTTAGTAGCATACACAAAGGTCAGATTAATTAAGGCAAAACATAGACCACAGCATTTCTTCACTATTTTGGATCTACCTTCTGGAGGCTTTCCTACAGAGCAAATGTTGGTGTTGGAGGTGTTGTTTCAGTTTTTGTTTGCTTAAAAAACAGTTAAACCACCCTGTGAAATCCCTACAGGTGTTCCAGTTCCAATCAGGTTTCAGGTTGGGTCACTGCCAATGTTGTCTTTCAATCTAACGATTTCCTAAATAGCCCACCTACAAAATTTGGATCACAACATGATTGGAAGACTGTAAATCCATTATGTACACATGGAAAACTTTTTCAACTAGTTTTACTGTTGATGATATCTTGAAATGAATTGGATGGCCTATATGAGGGACAAAGTAGTTGCAAGCCGTTTCCAAATTGTTAAAAAACCTGCATATTGTAAGGGCTGAATCTAAAGGTATTCCTGTCGACAAAATATATCATAACAAAAATTGCATCAAAAAGCCACTGTTGCACACTTTTATTTGGAGTGTAACTCAGTCAAGATTTAACCATTAGGTTGATTTTATTGTAGTGATCGAAAGGAAACATTCCTCGTGCAATCTTGCAGCGGTGAATATAATAGTTATAATACCTAATTTAGTATAGTAGTAGTAGTACAATTTGTACAAGCAATCTCAGTTTAAATCTTAAGATTTTAACTCCTTCGTGTTACAGGTTATATAGTGAATATGACATTAACAAGCCATGTCACTTAACCACAAGCAATTACAATTTTCTGAATATGACTTAGCTTGGTTTCTGGAAAACCCTGAGCCTACTGGGTAAAAACACAATGAAAGAAACCTGCATAAAAGAATTTAATGAAAAACCAGTCCCTGCAGGAAAAGCTTATCCCAACTTGTCAACATCTGGAGATCGGTTGTTTTTTCTCTGTAATATTACTGTAAATTATTATTTTATTTTGTAAAAAACGCTATCTGGAGATATATTTTGAAATCCTGAAATGTAAAAAGAGAAGAGGTAACATAAAACCATAAAGTAATTAACGGACGTATCTATAATACAAACAATTATTGTTTTCAGCCCTTGTGTTGTTGTTGTTGGGCTCTATTCAGGTTTGAAACTAAATGCTGGCGTGCTATTGGTTTAGACACTACTACCGGCCCCAGAGCCAACCCCTACCTTTACGCTACGGTGCAATGTAAAATACAGTAACTGCCCTGTTGAGGGTTTTATTGGGGGAATTTTTTGGGTGTACCGTCCGAAATCCCACCAGTCAAAACATTTTCACATGTGAGTCGTATCAGCACTGCATTTACCTCCCTCTGTCACTCGCACACAGTCTCATGCTTTAAACCTCCGTCAGGATGTGAAATAACTATTGATGTAATTCTCAGCCGTGTGAATCGTCACTGTGTAGCCACAAAAGGCGATGGTGACACTATAGAAAGCTAGAGATCACAGTGCACTGCACAATCCTCCGCCACGTACGAGGTGAGGGTGGGTGGAAGACGTCCTGTTGATGCTGAGCGTGACAATATAAAAACTCATTAAAGGTCATGGTATGGCATTTAATGGTGCCGAATACCAAAGTAAGCTTGGTTAATTACATACAAATCTATTAAAAATACAACTAGAAAGAAATAATTCAATGCTTTTCATACATAGAAACCGTAAGAACCAAATATAAACAACACTTTTAGTTTTACATTTTTGGGATGTTTTCACTTGCAATGACATGCTATAATGGCTGTCTGGAGGCATATATCTATTTCTGTCTATTTCCTATCTGTTAAGTGGCAGCTATTTCTAAGAAAGTTTTGCAAAAGCATGCTGTATATTTCCTCTAAACCACAAACTTCCTGGATCAGTGACATTTACTGAAAGTGTCTACAGGGACGGTTTCAGAGGTACAATAGTGAATACAATTGCAAAGACCTAATCAAGTAGTTTAGTTGTACAAAAACATTTATTCACACATTTTTAGGATATCACAGTGCTTTTTAAAAACGATAAAATGTTGGACAAAAAACGTGCTTTACAATATCAGTCAGACAGCGACTTTGTTTTTATTTTACAGATATTTTACTTTTCATACTTTCACGTCCACATTTTACTACTAAGTCATCGGTGCCTTTACATTGTTGTAGTGACACTTGTACCTAAAAAGATGATCTGGATACTTTATTCACAACAGTTTTTAAGTAAGAAATGTTTGTTCCAACAGAGGACACTGTCAGAGGAATCAGTGAGCTGAAATCAAATTAGGTTTCCCTAGTAGATTTAGTCAGACAGAACCCGTCAGATACACAACAAGCCACCTGTGATTTGAAGGCTTGTTTATCTGGTTTCTTAACGAAACTTTAGTGAATAGAAATTATGAGTTTACAAGGTATAGACGACATTTTTCCAGTGGTTGCAATGAAAGCATAAGAGCACGTATGCTGCTATGGGGAAAAAGAGGCAGTACGGGATCTCCCCCAACCCCCGCACGCTGCTGAGAGCTGTATTCTCAGCTTTGAAGATCCGCCACTGGTGGAACAGAACTAAATCATCAAAACAGGGAAAAAATGGAAACAGACAGAATATGTAGAAATAGTAAAACGTATTCATCTCAAGCTCTCCACCCGTTCATTATCATAGTTATTGATTGCTACAACCTTTACTACAACGCCGTTCAGACTATGTACTTCTTAGACTAGTGTCACTTGCCCCATTAAACCAGATCACAACATATGAAGTGACGAGACATGAAAAAGCATCAGAATACATGTACATCATATGTGCATTTTAGTGCGGTTTGTTAGTATACAACACTATTTTAGTTGCATGATCTGTAAGGTTGTTTCTTTCACATACTTTGCACGATATTCAATGATAACTGAACAAACAAAAGTCAAATATTGACCATTCATACACCTGCTAAAATTCAGACAGCCTTTCTGAAGTGGCTATCTTCTAATGTAAAACCAACAATTCAAGCAAAAGTTAAGTGGTCGTTAATAATTTGTGTGCTGATTATCTGATCCAATATTTCACAGTCTTCGCTGGCAGGTTGATTTGACACCTCAGTGCTCCCCTGGATTCCGTTTGACAGAGCACAGACTGCTCTCGCCACTTTCCTCAACTGGTCTCCGACACAGTGAGTCATTATCTGAAAAAAAGTTAAAGCATAATTGATTAAATCAGAACTTTATATCTGCAATTTAACTTTTAAAATGAATGGTCTAAAGCAAAGAATGAAGGAACAAAGGTTGGAGATTTCCTGGGAACCATGAAAAAGAAAAAAAGGAAATGTTTGTACAAAACATGAAAGACGTTTAGGGGTCAAAGGAATAAATTGACAAGAAATCATTCGCTTGAAAAGAGTTTGATGAGAAGATCAATACTTGTTTTTACGTTTGTCTCTATGGCAACTCTAAAACTACAGCCAGCCTCTTCTTAGCTTAGCTCAGAAGAAGGATGGTAAACAGGAGTCCTTATGTCCCTGCTGGTTCTCTGGCCATTCCATCAGGACTCTGGTAACTTACGGGACAGAGAAATAGTTCTGCATGTGATCCCCCATAACAGCAAGACGTGTCATTTTTAGAATTAAACAAACAAGTTAATTTGTGAGCCTTAAAGGTGTTATTACACCATTGTGTTACATTGGACAGATCCAGGCTAACTGTTTCCGCCCATTTCCAGTTGTGCTCAGTTAACTCCCCCGCCGACTGTAGCATCATTCGTTTTAATGCAACATACTTGGCACGGCAGGTTGAGGAGTGACGTGCAGTTTGCAGGTCACAGCGGTCAGTACACGCAGTCCAATAATTCCAAGTATGACGAGGGCCAACCCTGAGCAGGATACGCAAGATGCAGGTTACCTAATAGCCTTTATAATGTTGTGTCATTCAAAAATGAAAGCAGTAGTTTTACCTGTACCGATGTGGGTGACTGTGTGTCCTGGAGCGGCCATGGTGGTGGTGGTGCCCGTAGGTATTCTCTCAGTATGTGCCCTCTCATGAGGATGGGGGGATGTTAGGCGTGCAATTAGAGAGACCATTTTGTTTGATGTGGGGGGTGTAGTGAGATAGTTGGCACTTGGTGTAGGGATGTTACTGGTTGTGCACCCTTGGAGCTCATTACAGATGACGTCTGAGGACCTTGTTCCATTCGTTTTCACTCCACATTTACATCTAGAGGGAAATTTGAAGGATGCAGAGATTAACAACAGGTCTTTAGACATTGCTGAGATCATTTGTGTGTCTATAAAGTTTTAAAATGTGTTTTTCACAGTTTTAACAACACATTTAAAATCAGACTTACTCTTTCCACTTTTTGCACTGCGAGTTGCTTTGTGTAGTGAAATATCCATCTTCACATTTTGAACATTTACGACCTTCAAGTTGCAGCCCAAATCCAATTCTACATTTGCAAGAGGAAGAATCCCTTTCCCAGGGAACAAATTCTTCACGGCACTGACATTTTGTGTTTGTCTCTTTTGTGCACTCTTCTTTAACAACACTTCCCGTTTCTACAACAACAAAGGAATGAGATCACATGAGACTTTAAAGTAAGCTTTCTTCTGCAGCACAGAGTGAAACAGCAAAGCTTTCACTATATTCACAAATTGCGAATGTCAAATATCATTACGGTTTGTTAGCTATTGCTCACAGTATCGTGTTGTATTTTTAGTGTTAAAACCAATCATTCTGAACACTTACCGCTTTCACACTTTGTACATACTTTGCAGACTTGGGAATCATTCTCTTCAGGCTGGAAAGCTTCAATGGGGCAGGATTCACAACCAGTCCCACTTCTAGTTACTCTTTGTCCTTGAGTTATTACCGTTTTACAAGAACACAAATAGTAAGGGATAGTTGTACAGCTCAAAATGGAATATTTTACAGCACTATCTATGAAATTCATACAAGAAAGTAATATTCACCTTTTGAGCAAGTTATCCCAGCATCCAAATCCACAGTAAATTCATAAAAAATTAAAGTGAAAATAAGCAGTTTGAAAATAACCATGTTCAATTCTTCAGTGCCAATAAGAGCCACTGAGTCTTTCATGTGTGACACACCACAGAAACTGAGACAACAAAAGATCAGACTTGGTACCACCACTTTATAAAGAAGTGAGAATCCCACGTGTGTTCATAACCCAATATGGTTCTCAATGACACATCATCGCAAACAACACGTTTTTACTTTCTTTGGTGGAAAAATGCATGTACAATGGTATAAGTAGGAGTGAGTAATAGAATTAAGCTCAAACTTAATATGTATTACAATGCCATGCTTGTAATACTTTGAAATGTGAATTTTAATAAATGAAATGAGAATAAAATCAATTTATAGCCAGCAAGTTAGCACGTCATCTGTTTTTGAAATTTAATCAAGCAGAATCTTTTTTAATATAATAATAATAATAATAATCATTAACTCATTAATCTTTTTTTTAACACTAACTGTTTAATCTTGCAACACACTGGCGTCTAGAGTTTTTTCTTTATTAAACTTCTTTTTCAAAGATCAGGAATAGACACTTAACATGTGAATTGTGATTTGTTTTTATTAATGTTGTAAAACATCCCAGTATACTACATTGTGAATCGGATGCTCTATTTGATTTGGGAACCAATTTCAAGAAAGGGGCAAGAGGTTTTAGAAACAAAATAATTGCATGTTTCACGATGATGAGAGCATATTGTGTTTTCTACCATTTTGTATTATTATACTGAAGGATGAATGCTCCCTCCTCACAGACACTCGTACTTGATAAATGACAAAATACTTATACTGTTCAAAACAGCCCTTAGATTTCTCACTCAATCTTTTGCAAAAAATATATATTTTATTGACGTTACTTGACAAATAATTAAATACTGCAGTTAATTTCATTGATATTAAATAAATAATCACAGGGTTGATTTTAAAAGACACGCTTTGTTTCATAAAGCAACAGGCAACCAAACGGATAACCGTAAACGTTTTTAGAAACAGAATGTTGTCTTCTATAATAAAAACACATTTGCTTTTATATGTTAAACAAACCTTAAATTTGACTTCTTTATTTATTCATAGTAGGGAACTTGGTAAGAGCCATGTGTCTGACTATTTGGAACCATAAAGCTTCTGTTTCTTACCAGTAAAAACACCTTTGCATGTCGACTAAAAGAGCAAGTGGAAAAAAAGCATATTCTTGATCCTTCTGCACGATACAACCACGCAAATGCTCGTTTCTTAAAACGGATATGATTAGAATATCCAAGACGTTATGTAGGCTAGCCATGTTCCAGTGATTTTAATAACTCACATTATGTCGTGAGTCAGGTGGCATAGTATGTCGGGGAAGTCAAACTTTCTATATTGTTCTTGTAGTATCACAACATAGCAAGTTTTTTTCTTCCTTCCCAAACAGTTTAGACAGCCCATCAATCCCCATCGTGTGCTAAAGTTAAGGCTGTGACGTGACTTTGTGCTGTCTCAGTGAATATGGATCATACGTTTTAGAGTGGCAACTGTGGTAACTTTTCAGAACTTCATTATTTCGTATGAGTAAATGGACCATCAAATTACAATCAGTTTTCTCGTTATTAACTGTTGATAGAGTTGAATTGAGTTCACATTAAAGCCCTGGAACCCCCTTCGCAGTTTGTGTATGGGTAAACTGTTTATGTGTAGGGACTTGCAAACACATTCTAATGCAAGTACACTTTGGCATTCTTAGAATTTTGCTAAAAGATGAATGTGTGAAAATGTTCTTTTTTTCTGTGGTCTTTTTGAAAGAACTGCTTATTTTGGAAATCTCCATTAATTTTGATTAATGTTATCACAGACTCTGGATGTCCTACATACGATCACTCTAGGACACACTCGTGTTCCAATACACCACTTATGCAATTTCGTGAATATCCAAAGATACAGAGAGCACTAGACTAGACCAGAGACAACCGACTTTTCTCACATAAAAGAAAATGATGAATGGTCATTTCTGGTTAAAAGAGCCGTGTTGTGCATTTTCACAATGCTACTCTATGGGAATGTGCTATATAAATTAAAGTTGTATTCGTTTGCTGCTTTGATTTTAGGTTAGCCAAAGTAACCGCATCAACAGACTACCGGTAAACCCTCTATTTTTATTTTTTAGTAGGCTATAAAAATAGTAACATAATAACAACTGGGTTCACAATATAGGCATTATATAGGTATTACAGTAAATGATCCATTTGCACACACACACACACGCACTTTTGTTAAAATCCCAATGATTCAAAGTTTCCTCACGCCTGTTGTTGAATGTATGTACTTTTCAAAGGATCCTGTAGGTGGCGTAACATCCTTTGGTTTTACAGTGTTTTGAGATTAGAATAAGAAACTATTCACGACGGCAAATTCTGTATTGCGACATGTCGAAAAAGAAATCGGGATGATATGCGGCACAACTGAGCAATACTTCATGTTATTTAGTTGTTAAAAGAGAAACTGACACACCAGGCGTTTACCCAGTAAGTGAAAAGCACTCTTATTCGTGTAATACCAGTTTCTCTTTTGGCTTCTTATGTGCTGAAACACAATTAAAGCTGTGACAATCTAAATAACAATTGGTGTTTCTCCCAGTGAAATGGCGAACTACAATAACGTTAAGTTAACCGCATTCTGTTGCAGCGGTTTTGTCTAACGTTAGTGACCCTAACCCCCCAAAAAGCGATGCTGGTCACCGTTTTCTGCGCGCCGAGGGATCACCCAGAGACCACCTTCGCCCTCGATGTGTCCCCGGAGCTGGAGCTGAGAGACTTTATAGCACTTTGTGAACTGGAATCGGGAATCCCAGCTGGGGAAATTCAGGTAAGACCAAGGCTAGCTGTAGCCACATAGCTAACGGCTAACTAGCCGACTTGCTAGCATGAATCGGACTTTTGCTGATTTCTTTGCCGGACGGGTTGTTGCGAAACTCCCAAATATCAACCAGCTATCCTTAAAAAAACCTACAACAACTGTTTATGCTAACGACACCTCCACGTTTACCACATTTACGTTAGCTTAATTGGCTTTCCTATCGCCTTATCGAGCCCAAATTGTGTTTGTACGTCATCACAGTAACCTTAATGTAACGTTAACGGTGTCCAATGTTGTCTAACGTTATCTTAATAACGTTAATGTTAATGTGTAACGGTACAATTTGCCCTAGAGAAACACTATGTGTTATTGAGTAGATGATACTATAATATAATATCCACATGAATTAAAAAAGAAGCAAATCCTCCGTATAGTGATGTTAAATTAACTTTTTTCTTTTTTTCATTAACAGATTACAATTGCAGAACAGACCCTAAAAGACCATACCCGTGCCTTGGGGACCTATGGTCTTAAGGATGGAGATGTTGTGGTTCTCAGGCAAGCTGACAGAAGGCCACCACCAACCCAGCCAGCCTTCCCAGGTAACACACATGTTCTTTGAAAGGACTTTAGACCTGCTCAGAAATAGGCCAAAACAAGTCAGCTGATATTCATGAAGTTGCTTTCATATCCAAATACATTCATTCAAACTGTATTACTGCCACTTGTTCAAGCCCCCAACCACAGACCTGCATCATAAGTATGAGGACAGTAGGTTACAGAAAGAGAAACGTGTTCATTTAAAACAAAAAACTATATCAAAGATAAATGCAAGATGAATGCAACATATTTAGTTTTTGTACATGAAAAAATGCTAATACTAATCTCTCACTATTTACTTTTTGTGCTCCTCAGGTCTCCCTCATATTGATTTTCGTTCCATCACAATTCCCGGCACATCTTCTTCAACTAGTCAACGTGTCGCAGTAAGGCCTCAACAGCAACAGACTTCGCCGCCACCGCCGCCGCCGCCGCAGCAGCAGCAACCGCGCTCCGCACAGCCGTCGACGCCAACGGCCTTTCGTGGGTCCTCTCCTCCGGGGCTGGATGACCCTGCCTTACTCCAGCAGATGCTATTGTCCAATCCGCATGAGCTTTCACTCCTCAAGGAGCGAAACCCACCACTTGCTGAGGCTCTGCTGAGTGGAGATTTGGGTAAAAGAAAAATATGTTAATGTCACAGGCGGGAGTTTCTGTTTACTTTCTTTAATTTGAAATGTGAACCTTCACGTTATTGTAACGGTCTATTTTGTCAGAGCGTTTCACCAAAGTGCTGCTGGAGCAACAGCAGGATCGAGCTAAGAGAGAGCAAGAGAGGATCAGACTTCTGACTGCTGATCCTTTTGATTTGGATGCCCAAGCAAAGATTGAGGAGGACATCAGGTATGCAGCAAAGACTACAGATTTGTCAATTTCTCGTGAATAACAAGACTTTTGTCTTCAGGCCTCAGTTTTGCTACTGTAACCGCATATTTTTATGCAATAAATTCTTAATATGAATGAATTTGACAAGACTATTTGCTGCTAACATGGGGAAGGGAATTTTTTTTAAATTGAGTCTCTTATCCCTGCATTTGTGCTCTTTCTAGGCAACACAATGTGGAAGAAAACATGACGATTGCAATGGAGGAGGCTCCAGAAAGCTTTGGGCAGGTGGTGATGCTCTACATTAACTGCAAGGTCAATGGGCACCCTGTAAAGGCTTTTGTTGACTCAGGTAATGAAGATTCAAACCTGATCCCATTTGTATGTATTAAAACCATGAACAAGAATGTCACGTCATTGCACACACATACACACACACACACACCCTCTTCATCGCACACGCTTTTTTAGTAAGAAGTAATCATTTTGTGAAGCCCTGACCTTCCTTATGTTTAGGAGCCCAGATGACTATCATGAGCCAAGCGTGTGCTGAGCGCTGTAACATTATGCGGCTGGTGGACCGTCGCTGGGCAGGAATTGCCAAGGGAGTGGGCACCCAGAAGATCATTGGCAGGGTTCATTTGGGTGAGTGTTGGGTTTTTCTCAACGTTCTTTTTAGCAACACTATTATAGCATCAGACTAGTCCCCAGCAAAACACTCTTTTTTCCCTACTTACCAAAAGTCAGACAAAGTCTGCATGCAGTTTGAAATGTGTTGTATTAAATGTATACAACGTGTTCGTATTAAATGGCTCAGATGACAGCCACTACAAAGTAAAAACTAGCTTACCATTATACTCTTATACAGCGAAATAACCTGTGAGAGATTGTGTGATCAATTTGTGTTGTCTCGTTGCACTTGTGTAGCTCAGGTCCAAATAGAGGGTGACTTCCTCCCGTGTTCTTTCTCCATCTTGGAGGACCAGCCAATGGACATGCTGCTTGGCCTGGATATGCTGAAGAGACATCAGGTATGAGTCCCATGTTATCGTATCAAAGTCTGCAGTACAATTTTGAAATTGTAATGTCATTCAACATGTCATTTTCAGTACACTGAATCTTCAAGACAATCTGTGAGCCTTATTTGTCCTGAATGTCTTATAGTGTTCGATCGACCTGAAGAAGAACTTGCTACTAATAGGCACCACAGGCACCGAGACTCGCTTCCTGTCTGAGGCAGAGCTGCCAGAGTGTGCCCGACTGGCATACGGACCAGAGGGGCGGGAAGACACCCGTACGGACGAGGTAGCTGACAGAGAACTGGCCGAGGCTCTTCAGAGGTCAATACATGAAAGCGGTAAGAACCGGGCCCTCATCTCTGCACTTGGTCTCAGCTCAGTTAGAACAACATTTGCATGCGCCACTTAAAAGTTTTTACTCTCAACCCCATCTGGAATGTCAGTCATGGGATCTCTTCATGTCATCACCTCAGTAAGTTAAATATGCTTTAGGATAGTGTGTGTGTGTGTGTGTGTGTGTGTGTGTGTGTGTGTGTGCGTGTGCGCACAAAGAGACAAATCTGTTCTTGGATCAAGCTTCTTGGACTTAAAAGGGACAAATGTGTTTTGGTTTATTTTTGGCTTGTTTGCTGTATGTAGTAAAAGTTACAGTTGATTGGATTCTGTGTGAATCTACAGTGCGGATGGATATCTGAACGAGTTTTAGAGCCCAAAGGAATAGGGACATCTAGTGTTGGTAGAAATGGGGGTGTTGATTTGTGTGAGCAAGACCATCTTACAGAGAAAATCAGCACTACAGAACGGAATTCCATTTTCAGAATTTCTGTATAAGGTTAAATAATGACTCCAAATAGTTCTTAGTGACATTACATCTTACAAATATTGACATGCCAATGGTGGTTGACTGTAGCTGGCTGGTGTCATCTCATCTCCCCGTCTTTGGGCGATATGACAAAATATACCATGTGTTGTCATATGTCAGTCATTCCTTTTATACCTTGCTACCTTTTCTTTACATCCCACCTTATCTCTTGAGTGTACAAGTCCATTTTGGAAAAGGTTGTAAAAAAACAAGAGGGTTTATGGCAGTATTGTATTTTAAGATTACTTAAATATCAATGTGAAGTGTCATGTTCCAATAGGTATTTATTTTACTTTAATGGAGGTTGACTGTAAGAAGAAAGTGGTGCCTTCACCACGGGTTGGTGTGTTGTAAATTTTGGGATTGTCAAAAAAGCATTAACGTGTTTCCCTGTAATGCTTTTCAAAGCTTCAATTAAAACCAGTGCTATTGCCATTGATTTACTTTAATTAATTACTTTTTAATTGTTTCCATCAGGCAGTGATGTCCGGTAATGGCTGCAAATGGAATTGGAAAGAAAAAGCAGCAGTAATTAACTTTAAAATTAATTTGCAGAGACTTTGTTAAATAAGCCATATTGGGGAATGAGGCAATCCTCCACTAGAAAAAAGACATAGCTCCGTTGTTTAATCAATTTTTGGTCTTAATTTGTTTATCACAGTTAAGGGATTTTGATCAAATGTCCTTCTGAGGTGACCTCAAATTGAGCTTTCTTAATTTCAGTGACATGTTATGTAACCACACTCTGTGAAGCCTTTGGCTCAGATATTTTGGGATGCCACTTTTCACATCTGTGTGTGAGAGAAAAGGCTTTTAGGTTGGTGCATGCTCTGTGTGCGTGACTGCTAACTTTCTCCGTCCCTTTGCATGATGTGTGTGGTGTGTGCCCTAACTCCTGAGCAGGACCGCACTGATTCATTTGGAGACAGCTGAAGGGAGACCTACCAACCAGGTACTGCAAATTCACAAGGCCATTGCGAGTGCTACATCCATTGCTATTTATGTCTTTTATTTTGCTGTTGTTTTTCTGCTGGAGTGTTTAATTGATGTACCTTTTGTTTCTAAGTATCCATGCATGAATTCAGAAAACGTTTATCATTTTTAACATAGAAAAACGTACTATGTAAATGCACACACCAGCCATTCATGAATTACCAATGAGTTACCAACATGTGTGTTTTGGGTTTTTCCCTTAAATGCATATAATCCCCAAAAGTAATGCCTCTAGAGGGTTCTGGGCACTGTTTCACTGCCAGTTATATTTTGTCTTACATTAGACACTGCAGATGGAAAAACTACCTCGCCGCAGCCCCCACCATTTACATTACCCAGAACCTTAGACCAAACGTCCTCATCCACCTCCCAATCCCAAGGCCCTTCCTATAGTCACCCCCAATCTCTGGTTCCCTCTCGATCGGACCCGGCCACCATGGAGCATGCTTTGGCCCCGAAGCTGTGCCGTGACCAACCCGGCCTCCAGGGATTTCCACAGCCTTCTTCCTCAGCAGAGGATGACTGTTTTGCACCTATTCAGGTCCACTCTCGCCCTCTCTCTGTGCACACTGACTCCAAAGTGCGCCCTGTGCCCAGTCCGCCTACAGACGTCCCCGATACATGTTCCCCTCCTGCAAACCCGGCCACAGAGTATCTGGGGAGTGAGGCTCAGCCCGGCCACGCAGAGGGGAATATTGAATCAGAGAAGGTGATTAACAACCCCGCGCGCGCCCATCCCAAGGAACTTTCCCCCATCCAACCCATGGAGCACGAGCCTATGGAGTCGCACGCTGCAGAAGCGCATCTGAGTGTTCTCAGCCAACCGGACTCTGTTGAAATGGAGTCCCCCACTGCCTCCCAGGGCGTGATGTCCCCCGAGAGGGACCAGCCTGAGGGAGAGCACCACTCCGACACCGTCCCGTCGTTGGCGGCTGCTCTGATGGAGCTTCACGAGCTCCTGGTATCCAACCACTGTGCTCAGTCCCAAAACCGCAGTATGTCCTGCTCCCCCTCACATCCATTGAAACAGGAAACGGAGGAAGTGGCCCCAGGGCCACTACCCCCCTCCCACGGAAGCACCCAGTGGATCCCCTTTTCTGCCATCTTACCCAGTGCGGAACCAAACAATGCCAAAGCCAACCATGCAGCTGCTGTGTCTGATGAGGGACCATCTAAGTGTCTCGTGCCTGACCTCTCTGGAAAGGATGAGCCTCTGGGCGGGGCGGCGGCAGAGACTGTGGAGGGACGTGGATGTTCAGGCGGCTCCGTCAAGAGGAGGGCAGATGATGCAAATTACATCAGCCGTTTAGAGTCTGAGCCCGAGGTCCCGCCTGACCCTACAAGGGACCTGGAGTTTAGGGAACCTCCTGAGGGGCAGCAGGGAAGAGGGGTTGCAGATGGACGGGCCTCTGGCACAAACACGCCGGATACCCTTGGCCTCCAGACTGCGGACCCTTTTCTCAGCCCCCTGTCTATGGCAGTGGGCTCACCCACCTCTTGCCCTCCAACTGCTCAGGCTGCCCAGCTTGCATCTCCAGCCCCTCCTTCTCCCCATCCCTTTATAGAACAATTTCCAGCCGAGGATGTCCAGAGAATCCAGGCGGCAGGGTTTTCTGCCAGGGAGGCTGCAGAGGCACTGGAACGAGCCCGTGGGGTTGTGGAGCTGGCTCTGCTGGCACTACTAGCCCGCAGTATCACTGTGCCCACCAGGACTCATAACTAGTCATGCAAGTCCCCAGCCTCCCAACTCGGGATCTGTCTTATTTATACCTTGTTACTCGACCGGCTGTCTCAGACCCTTCTCAGCAGGGAGCATGTATAAACACAGGGAAATGCTGTCACTTGGGCTTGTCGTACAGAATATCCAAAAACAAGAAGGGACAACTGGTCATTTGTTTCTGGATGTTGCAGATATGTGAGGTGTGTTTGCATGCAGATGTTTTGGGTGGCTACCCATTTCATTGGTTTTTAGAGATTTGGTATGGTAGATTGATTATTTCTTACTTGTTTTGTTGTCCAATTTTGACACGATATTAAATGCTCAATGTATGATTGATTATTTAGCCATTGAACATTATTATAATTTCACCTTTAATTTGTGTCATAAAACTTTTGTTGTCTAAGTTGTGGAGCATGAATAAAACAATTGTACAAGTGGAGTAGTGTTAGCCCAACTCAGAGTAACACTAGTGATCTACAGGTGATCCTGCAAACGTATGGATATTTGAAACAATATTCTGATGAATAAAGCGCCATGTTGATTTCTAGCCCCTTAGTGATGATGGAAAAGCTACCTTGTAACTGCAACAGTTTAGAAGGGCTAACTTTACAAATCATTTCTCCAGATAAGTGGAAGCCACCCTTTTCTGCGGCATTATCACATCCAAATATCAATATAGCAATGAGGGCGTTTGTTGACGTATGTTCAGAGATGGTATTTGTATTACAGAAGGTTTCTTGTATTGTATTAATTATTTTCCACACTTCAACAGTTTTCAATGTGTAGTTACAAAACAGTTTGTAGCTCCTGTTGAGAAAGTCATTTTTATTTTTGTGTCAAATTATCGGTTTATGTTCGTACCTTGAAATCATCCATATTCCTTTTGTAATCTGTTATAATACTGCCATGTCACAACATCATATATCAAGGATTTTAATGGTTTTATTTGAGCAATTTACCGACAATGTTCAGGCGATTGAATATCTACTTTTCTCTTGTATGAAAGTTTAAATTTCAAATAAAAGAACTAGTATTTGTATATTGTGAATTCATTTCTAGATGAATGGTTCATTTTATGTTGTTTTAAAAAACATTTAAACATTAAACAAAGCACAATTAAAAAAATCGTCCAATTCAAAACTGAACCATTTGAGCCCTTTATGAACCCTTTCAAAGAATCAGGATTAGTTGCTGACTATTCCCAAGTAAATTACCCACAAGTCATTGCAACGTGATGGTAAAACTGTGAAGGCATGGAGACGCGAGGAAAGGTCAAGATAGAGGAGACTGTCACATTAAATGTGCACAGAAACCTTAGGGATTAAACATGGAACCACTTCACAAATTCACTTCTTATGAGGACAGGTTCTGGAAGATATTCAAATCCAGGAGTAAAGTGTATAAAATACCCTCAATTGTACATCCTATTGTATTGTGAGAAAATGGTGTCGCCTATTCACAATTTGCCTATTAAACCGACTCTCAAATATTACATTTACCACCAGAATAGATCAGCTGGCCACCAATAATTCAGTTTGAATCCGCACTGAGATGGAAAAAAGGCCAGCGTATAAAAAGCTTGAAAAAAAATAAACCACACCTGAATCCAATTCCTTGTGATTGCGGCTAGTGACACTCACATGTGGCTCTGGGGCCACATTGAGGCTGCTTCAGTAGACAAAAGCCTCCCCCTTTTCTCACTTGCTCAGGGTTTATAAAAAGAGTCTTTGCTGCAGGGTCGTGTTAGAGAACTGTTACAGGGTGAAGCGCTATGGCTCAATTTAACGGCGGAGATGAAAAGAGCCGCTGTTTGATTAGGGGGGTTATCCCTTATCCTAATCCAGACTGCTGCAACTTTGACGATAGTCTTTTAGTGGATTCTTTGATTTCCCCAACACAAACCATGAGAGCGCAGCTGCAGCGTCCTTATGGGTGGTGTCTGGAACCCAACAGCGCTCCGGACTGCGGAGGCCTCGGTGAGAGCAGGGACCCGCCGAGCCAGTTTGAGGATGGCGGGTAAGGGCCACACGGTGTCCCCCAAAAAACTCCAGTAAACATTGTGTGTGCGACTACGATGCTTGAATCTCTTTGCCCTTTTTTTTTTGTAGTCCTCCCCCAGACATATCTACAGCTCTACGATCATTGGCTGGAATGCACGGGTTGAATATGAAGAAACCCTCCCTGATGCACAAACTGTTCTCAGTACCTGCATTTGAGGACCATGACATTTTGTCGCCAGAAGACTTTCAAGATAAAAGTGGCGACTGGTAAATATTTATGCTCCTTTATAATATTTCTAGACTTCTAACTAAAATGTGGCCTGCTTTAACGATCTCAGGGCTGCAGATCGGACTGAGGAAGATCTTTGTGAATCATTCCAGTCGAAGTTTGTTCATTACTGTAAGAAACTTTTTTCATTTGGTCCTTGTTTTCAGTCATTGAACAATAATTACAGAAATTGAAATAATATTGTCTGCATTTGTTCCTTTGGCTTTAGCTCCACTGTATCAGGAATACTTTTGGCGGGTGTGGAAAGAAAATCCGCCCTGCCCGAAGCCCAGCTTCGTGTCTCAACTAATAACACCCCATGTGTTGGACGTGCACGACCTGACCCCTACCCAATACTTCTCTGATGCAACACTCCCTCCATACAAACGTCTTGAAGGGACTCTTTGTTCCCCTCTATCTCCCTGTGTAAAGTCTGCTCCATACACCCTTTGGCAAGATCTAAAAGAGGTGGTGCAATCTGGTCTTCTCAGCGACATGACAACCAGTGAGATTCGCCTTCAGGAGGTGTGGAAAGTTTTACTTGCATGTGTTAAACCTCATTATGGCCACTTTTGCATTTTAGATCAGTGTCTTCTAATTAAAAAAACGTGTGACTATTAAAATTATAGATGGGATTATATGAAAATTAAAAGCGCAGAGTAGAAACATGAGACTGTTGCCCCTCATTACACACCAAGAAAAAAAGTGGTGAGGACCGTTGCGTGGAGGCGCATCTACGCCGATTTGGCAAGAGAAGCAATACTTCCGAGAAGTGTTCATGTCCTCACACTCGGGTGTCGGGCAGCTTTATTTTTATCCTACATGGCTAAACCGCCCCGTTTCTCTTCAGTCAGCGTATTTCTGTCTGTTAACCATGTTAATGCTCAATGGGCAGAACCATCCATCTCAAATTCACAATTTTGTAATGCTCTTATATCTATCTTAAATAATTTCTTTTTTTTGCCCGCTGAAGGCAAGGTTTGAGTTGATCAGCTCTGAAGCGTCTTACCTAAGGAGCCTGCGAGTTGTCGTAAATCACTTCTGTGCATCGGAGGCCCTCAGAAAGGCCCTGAATCGAATGGAGCATCACTTCTTGTTTTCCAACATCACATGCGTGATGGCAGCCAGTGAGAAGTGAGTGCTTCACACACCTGCACTTCCTCTTGTACGTTTTGATCTGGTGTTTGTGAGCGTGTACGCTGAGCTGCAGTCTTCCTGTCGCCTCTAGGTTTTTAATAGATCTGGAAATGCGACTGAGCGAGAGTGTGCTAATATCTCAGGTCGGAGACATTGTGCTGCAGCACTGCACCAAGTTTCAAATCCTCTATGTGCCGTATTTGACCAACATGATGTTCCAGGAGAGAATGTTCAACCGTCTGCTGTAAGTCTCAGTTGGTCTGCTCAATCTCCCCAACCTTTCATGACTATTCAACGATGTGTGCCTTTACTTTTTTCAAGGGAGCAGAACAGGGACTTCCTATCTTCAATCAAGAAGCTTGAGAGTAACTCAGTGTGTCAAAGACGGAGCCTTAAGTCATTCCTTGTCCTTCCCTTTCAGAGAATCACTCGTATTAAACTCATCCTCGAGGTAGGCATCCGACCGCTGAATCCTATTCACCTAAATGTATGTTTTGAACTTGTATGAAGCATTACAAATGTCCACAAAAGGCTTCCATTGGGTTCTTTCAGAGCATCCTGAAGCTGACTGACCGAGACTCTGACTCAATTGCCAATCTTGAAAAAGCAATAGAAGCGATCCATCAGGTAGTGCAGTTTCACATTCAAGTGTTCAACCCTCCACATTCATACAACAGGGGAAGGAGATTCTTGTTTTAAGTGAGCTAAGCAAATGCAATCTCATTTTAAAATTAGATTCTAAATGTTTTGTGTGCTGAACAGATGGTGATGGAGTGCAACAAAGGGGTGGAAAGATATATGCAAACAGAGGAACTGGTCAGACTGGAAATGACGCTGGACTTTGACAAAGTTAAGGTAACCCATGTCCTGTTTTTGCCAACTGCAAGTTTAATAACCATACGAAGCGCTTTTAACATTCTGTCAAACGGATTCTTCCTCCAGTCAGTCCCTCTGGTTTCAAGCGGGCGCTTTCTGGTGCGCCAGGGTCCCATGAGACGGCTGCACGCAGAGGTCACCAATGCGTCGAGAGTGTCCTTCGTCAGCATCCACCTCCACCTTTTCAATGACCTTTTGATCATCTCGGAAAAGTATTTGACCAGATTGCATAATGGGGCAATTTCGTACAGAATTTATTTTTAACACCCAACATCCTAATTTGGTAATTCTCTGAATTGTCCTTGCATTGTTTTCCTATTTTTTAAACCACTGTTTTCTCTCTCAAACATATCAGGGCTCTGAAGTTCAAAGTTATGGCTCACGCATCGACCTCATCTGTGCACATTAAGCATCTGGATAGTGAGGCTTGTGATCTACCCACACACTCGTTCCTGTTGACACTCTCCCAGAGTCACAGCGGCCAACAGACGGCCATGATACTTGTTGCCAACACAAGGTGAAAGAGGACATCTGTTTTTCTGCACCTTGACTAATGCATATCCTTGATCAGCTATTCCTCTATCTGGGATTCTTTACTTTCTCTTTGCAGGTCAGATAAAGAGGAGTGGATCGAGGCGCTGTCGTCTAAACAGTGACGGAAACATGATCCACTCATAGATGACTTTTGATTTTTATACCAATGCCGTTTTTAACTTGCACATTGCGAATACACTTTACTAATTGAAAATATAAACACTGTTCACTTTTAATATAAACTTGACTGCACTTAAGCTTAATTGCCTATAGAGCACCAGACAACATAAGGATTCCAACTTGCACTGAATTTTCACAATACAGGCACACAACATGTAGGGGCAATTAGTTTTAAGTTAAGTAAGATATTTTTTCACATTCATTAAACTTTTTTTAAAATGTGCTTTGTTTCTTTAAACCTGCAAAATATAAAATAAACGTCAGTAAAAAATGTGAGTGTGTGTGTGTGTGTGTGGGTGCTTTTTAGATGAAATGAACAGGAATCCATTAAAACAGTCCAGCCCCTAACTTCATGATATTGTTACAAATACGATTTTAAAGTAGAGTGCCTGTCTTCTGCTGTGAACGATGGTTGGCTGATCCAGCTGTAACACAGTCCTGATGCCACAGGTTCTCCGCCAGGCAGTTGAGAAATGGGGCTACGTCACCAATCCCGTCACTGACCTCCCCGCCCACACGCAGCACCCGTAAGTTCCATGTCTCCTGGAAGTCCCTCACGTCTCTCTCCGGCACATCACAGTGCATGAAAAGGTCAAATCTGACAGCCATTAAGGACAATTGCTATTCTCTGAAATGATATCCTAGCCCTGAAATGACCCTGGTTGTGAATAAACAATTCAGTTTTAGAAAAAACAATAGAGGATACTTTGTGCCGACCACCAATTTTACAACATGTGCCTCCGGTGTCCCAGTCCATTTAGCAATTTGACTTGACAGATCTTCAAAAGATGTCCTGTCAGTGAAGGAGAATAGGAAGAGGACGGCATCCACCTGCTCCTTACAGGCCTGGAAGATAAAACGTTTGGTAGATGTTGTTAGGGTTTTTATTTGGATCTTGCCTCATGTAAGCATAGTCCCTTTTCTCTTTCAACGCAACACAATGTGTTTTGTGGAAACACTATTTCATACATACAGGAAGCAAATGGTCAAATCTTCGCAAGGTGTTCTCTCCACAGTCCCACAGCTGCAGACGGAAGAAAAGCACTCGACCATTCTCTCTCAACTTCACGGGCCAATAGACCACCGTGGTTTCAATACCTTGAAGAAAGCAATGGAATATTTGATCTCATTAGTCTTTATGTTGAAGAGTTGACAGTAATTTACTCTAAAAGCAACTGACTCTCATTGACTCTGGACCCACCTGTGGTTTCATAGTGCAAGTTGGGAAGTTTCAGGCCTGCAAGACGTGCTGCAAGAGAAGTTTTCCCGACCCCACTCTTGCCGGAGATGAATACCTTGTAATGGACTGTGTCCACAGCTTCGTGTGAAGGCATCATCGGAGACTCCAAAAGGCCTGTAAATAAAGTTTTAAAACGGCCATCTAAATATTCGCTTTTGTATACTGCTTGGAATAAATACTTCCCACATGAACCTACATGGCTTGCTGGTTAATGTCACATTGTAACTCCTTTGGTTTAAAAGTGTATGGATGATTTTCAACAGCATGGCAGAAGCATTTATTTGCCTCAGTACTTGTACCCTGTGCAATGACAATAAAGTTGAATCGAATCTAAAAGTCCATCTTTATTATGTCACTCTAGGATATCTGGAAGTTGATATTAAGCGTTGAAAAACTGAATGTCATTACATTTCTAAAAAACAATAAGCATACAAACCAACCACGTTAGTGTTTTTGCCATGTCCTCGTTTTAAGTGGTTTTGTAAATTGTAATTGTAAAGTAAGACGGCACACTATGAATCAGGCTTCGTATATTAGGATTAAATACGAATACATGTCTCTTGTTAATTATGTTGGGTGGCATCATGCTAAGGTTAAAAAAACTAACTAAAAATAATTTCCAGAATTAACGTTACTTAATCGTACAATCAAAGCCCAGTTACAAATGCTTACGTTACATTTCAAAATCCAAAACGATTTAACAAAAATAAAAATGTTTATCTGTCATACCGAAGTTTTTGCGTCTCCTTTTGTGTAGAATTTTGCTGAAATATTCTTTGCTGTCTTTACATTGATGCCAGTCAGCTACTACGATCGATCTGGAGGAAGGAGCGACTTGTGCCATGTTATTACTAATAATTATGCTGCTCGGATAAAGGTAGCATCACACAGCTAAGCTTAGTTATTTCTTTATCAAACCAGTCAGACTGTAGCGGCATGTAAAAGCGGTATTTGAATGGAAATAGTGTGCTCTTTCTCACTAAAGTGGTTTCGTATATATATAATTACTGTCTCCAGGTACAATTTCAAGCATCCAAGTGAAGCTAGCTAAACTTCCATGAGCTAAAAACATCCCTTGAAGACCGCTCTCTGACGTCACGTTTCCATGGGCGGGAACCAGACAGGAATAACACGTCACGTCCGGTAGCTGCCTGGCTTTGTGATGTTATTCATGTTCATCAGAAAGTTGTCAATTTCTTTTTTTCCTGGCTCTAACCTATCTTTTTTGGACGAAAACCCCAAACCTGCAGAAAGCAACCTCGCCTGTAAGTACACCGTAGACCGTATGTAATAATATCATTTCCTTTGAGGCGTAAAACGTTATTTAAATAAATATTTCACAAGTTCCTGTGTCATCTGCTGCTGTTTGCCCTCAATCGTCACATCATGTTAACAAAAGTGTCATAGAACATCCAATTTTTAAACGGCATCTGTGTTGTTTTCAAGTGCAGTCAATGGGCTTTTTTCCCGGTAGCACGTGAACGTCGCGTGGGTTCTCTTCGCTCGCCGCCAGAGGTCGCTCGACTCCAGCGTTACAACGTTAAATGTAAGGATAATATGCAAAGAAAAATACCATGAGAGCCCTCACAGTCTGGACCCCACTGCTCCCCATCGCCATGTGCACAGATATGGGGTTCATACTCTATGGTAGTTTGCATTGGCGGTAAAATAAACGTATTTGTGACTGTATGGAAATATAGATGGAAGGCATGTATACGTTATTGGTGTGGAAAAGTAGCACTAAGGGAATTATCTTCACACATTCAACATTGTAAGCATGAGTGGTTCATTAAAGTATGTAAAATCTCAGAAGATTTCTCTCAATTTTGAGGTAGCTGTCAGTTCTTCTGAATTACAGTTTGAATAAAAACTTAAGATGTTGGCCTTAACGCAATGTCACATGATGATCTGCATTCCAGCCCCAATAATCCATCAGGAATCAGGAAACATTTATTAGCCATCTGATTCGAGGCATTTATATAACTTGACTTAACTTCTTCTTGTAGTTCATTTATATTCTGCTGAATGATTGATTCATATTAGATTACCTTTTTTCAGACTAAATTGATCATCAACAGCTTGTAAATCTTGATGACTACTTATAACAAACTGAAAAGGTCATCAGTCATCATCAACATGATTGTAGATAAAGGGAAAACAAATGAATATATCAGTTTCCTGTGTGTGTGTGTGTGTGTGTGTGTGCGTGTGTGCATGTGGCTGGGTGAGTGCATGAATGATTCAGCTTCACCGGAACATGACACGGATTAGATATTCAATGTGTCAGAATGGTTGTTCAACTGTTGGTGGACTGGTTGAAAATGTCTAGCCACACCCCAGACTTGGAGCCTATGAGTCTCTGGGAAATAATATGCTATAATTATAAGGTGTGAAATTAAATCAACTGTCTTTCACAATTTATAATAAAAGTGTCAATGTAACGCAACGAATTAGCTTTATTTCATGGCTAAACCAGTCATTTTTGTTGTACTAATGCATATCATGACTATGATATGATGCAGCACAGTTGTGTGTACGTACGACATTTTTGATCCATCTTGGCAAAGTCACTGAGGTTAACTGACTCCGTCTGGACGGCAGATGTTGCTTAATAGTAGCTTATTAAGGGTGGAGTGTAAAATTGTTAACATCAATAATGTTGAGGTTTGGAATTTCTTACGAGCCATGTGTGGCAGAATTGCATAGTTTGTGTGACGATGGTGTAATCGTTTATTGTATTTTTTCTTAACATGTAGGCGTGAAGTATTTATAATATGTTCTTTGCTGGCGACTTTTTAAAACGAAATGAGTGTTTTCACCACTGTTGCCGGCCTAGTTTTCTGATTGTGTGCTAATAGTTACAAACCCAGCAGCGCTGAGGCTGATTGGAAAGCCAGTCATCTTTTATTGGATTTGGTCATAAACCAAAGTGTATTTTGACCTGATGATGGTGAGCAAAGTTCACAAAGACTGAATGTCAGTAGCAAAATTCATTGATAGCCCAATGAATACTTGACAAGACATTTTACTCCTCAACACGATTGTCAACCTACTATCGGTGCTGGATGAAAAGTCGGGGATCACCACAGTCAATGATGTTCCCAATTATAATGTTAATAACGTCCGTTCCAAAGTTTAAGGTGATTCCTCCAACAGATATATTTCAATCTGGAAAAATGAAAAACAAACACCTGTTGACTACATGAGGACAAAGAAGTGATCCAGTTACAAGGAAACATTTTTTATTTAAACCCAAAATGACTCAGCCTGGTGAATACACACCAGATCAGTTACTCATCATGAATGGCATAAATACAAAACAAAATAAATATTAAATAAAAAAATAATGGACAGTTTAAGACATGATGTAAACAAACAAGACTTGAGGAAAAACTGCATTATGTGATACAGAGACCAACTACAAAACAACAATGTGTGATTCTTTGCCCTGAGTGGAATTAAAATTCCAAATTAAAAGCAAGTCTCGTTGATCATAAAACATGTAGAAAAACAAATAAAATTCTAGAGCCTTAAACACTGGGAGTATAAAAGTGAGTGCTTGGAAGAAAACATTTTACATTTTTCAGTCATTCAGTAAATAGGAACCAAGCACTCTCACATTGTCTCACATTCTGGATCTTTTAACTGTTCTTTCATTTACTACATCACATAACACATGTTTATGTTAAACATATAAAACATTATTATTTGTCCTCTGTCGTCATAAAGTACTTCAGTGTTTTTGATCTCAGTCCGGTCTGAGGGGCTCAGAAGGTCCTCTTCAGTCGCGCCATAAAAATAAGCCCCCTGCCGTGTAACTCCCCCCAAAACCCCCTCCCTCACTGCAGTCCTGCTCGTTCGCGAGTGAAATGGCATTGGTCGGTCAATGCACGTAGATTTGGTGGAATGCTTAGATTACACTGCGAACACGCTGAGGGAGCTGGTCTCGTCTTTCAGGCCCAGGATGCTGTATGCGATCCTTTTCATGTGACCGGGCAGCCGCACACCGATGTTCCTGATGTCTCTGCAAGGACGAGATGACAGATACTGTTTATCAGAGGGCTAAAAGCTATCTAGAAACTACTACGGAGGTAATGGTTAAGAACTGGTTCTGAACTAGCTTAATAAAAATATGGAGTTTTGTTTGGAAAACAATATGGGCAAATAGCATCTGACTCAATGCATAAATGGTTTCAAAAGGAGTACCGAATTAACAAATAACTGAAACTCTTGGGGCCAGGCAGCAGATTAAAAAAAGCCTCCGGCTGTGGAAGTCAAAGGCGCAGAGAATGAGAGGAATGAGGTAGCAGCGTGAAGTATTTCTACGTTCACAAACTGGCTGACAAATGTTCGAGCTGAGAGCTCAGTACTTCCTCTGTGTTACTACAAAGAGTGGCCTGGTGCCAGGTCGGATCAGCTCAGCCCGCCGTGCGTGCACTTACTCATGCCTCAAGGCGAGCACCTGCTCCATGGTGGTGATCCCGGCGCGAGCGAAGCTTTCCTTGTACTGGTTCATTTTGATGGACTCCAGCCACTCGGGCACCGACCTGAACACGGTGCCATCACAGCCGCTGCTGCTGGGCAGGCGGATGGAGACACTGCGAGGAACGAGGAACGTTCGGATTACTCATCATTTACTGCCACGTTATGTTCACTGAACAAGAGGGAACCCAATTTTACTGTTGACTCATGACAGGAACATTCCAGAGATGTTTCAATATTTCTCATGGCAAATACCAAGACTAATGGAGCTCTAGTTAAAGACAAAAGAGGAAACCAGGACTTGGAATTTAAACAAAATATATATTATCAGCTTCATCTGCTTATTAACACACAACATTTGTGTTTATAAATGGAGTTTAAGTTCTGTAATTCTCCACAGAATTCACTATGCACCATAGAGGGTTTGTTTCTTTTATAGTAACCCTTTTCATTTAGTCTCTTTCACTTTGTTACCAAATGAGAAAGCTTCATACCGCGGGTCAAAGTCAGCGATGGTTTTTAGAGACTCTGGGCTGCGAAGCAATTTGTCCAAAATGTTGACAATGTCTGTGAATCGAGGTCGTTTGGAGCGGTCGTGCTGCCAGCACTGGAGCATGAGCTGGTAGACGGCGGATGGGCAGTCCATCGGAGCCGGAAGCCTGAAGGCTTCGTTGATAGCCTTCATGACCTGAGGAAGAGGAAAGGCAGCTCTTTGATCTATTTTTGACTGTAGTGACGGGCAGCCTGGGAAAAAAAGTCCTATGTACGTATGTTGACACCCGCAGTTAATTTCAAGAGGGGGTTGGGAGACTGCTTTCTACCACGGAGGTGGTTACGCACACTAAAGTTTGACCTCCACAGGCCAAAAACAAGCTTTCGTATCAACCACAAGAGCTGGACCTACCTCGTGGTTGCTCATGTCCCAGTAGGGCCGCTCTCCAAACGCCATCACTTCCCACATGACGATGCCAAAGCTCCACACGTCGCTGGCTGAAGTGAACTTCCTGTATGCGATGGCCTCAGGGGACGTCCAGCGAATGGGGATTTTACCTCCCTGACGTAAGACAAAAGTGAACAAATCGTGTTAAATGTGTGAAGGAAGTGGAAAAGAAAAGCGATCAAAGACCAACATTCTTAGATTGGACACCTGATAGTGAAAATAGCATCAGCAGTCTGTCATTTTTTACTAAAGAAAAAGAAGGGTTGTTCTCTCTATGCTTCTAGGCTGGTAAATATGCGGCTGCTGGACTCACTCTTGTTGTGTAGGTGCCCTCAGCGTCGTCCTCCAGCACACGCGACAGCCCAAAATCAGAAACTTTGCACTCCAGGAGGCTGTTAACCAAAACATTCCTTGCTGCCAGGTCGCGGTGGACGTAGTTCATGTCAGAGAGGTACTTCATGCCGGCAGCTATTCCACGCAGCATCCCCGCCAGCTGATACGACGGGATCTCTCCATCGCGATCCTAAAGGAAAACAACACATACTTTAAATGATTTATGGTTACAAAAATAAGAAAAACAGTCAAAACCAGTAGTTCTTTTTTCGGCTTTGAACTTTATGTAATGTATTAAAGGAATAGTTAAACATTTTATACAATGCACTTTAATATGATCCAATGTAGGCAAACATACAGATACTCAATTCAACCAAGTTTTCCATGGTTTTAGTTTACGCAGTTGACAAATGTTACGGACTAAAAAGTATGAAGTTTAAATCATATACCAACCTTCAGGTAGGTGTCAAGAGCTCCGTTCTCCATGTACTCTGTCACTATCATGGCGTGCTTGACTGAAAATTAAAAAGAAAACCGGTGTTTAGTAAAAGCAAAGTGTACGAGCAGTGGACACAAACAAGTTGAGAATGATGAGTTGGACTTCTGTTCGAGGTTATCGACTCACATTTGGTGACAACTCCCTCCAGGCGGATGATATTCGGGTGTGAGAACTGCCCCATGATACTGGCCTCGCTCAAGAAGTCCTGCCTCTGTTTCTCAGAGTACCCTGGCTTCAGGGTCTTGATCGCCACGGCCACCTCCCCTCGCTTGGGAGTCTTCATCACGCCCCAAAAGACTTCCCCAAACTCTCCTGATCGCCAGACGGACAGCGGGAAGAAACATCAGAAACTGCCCTCTTATGAAATGGAGGAGAAGTGATTTTTTAAGGGGGGAAAAACGTACCAACACCAATGACTTTTTGTTTGCTAATGGCGGTGGCGTCGATTTCTGTGACAAACTTCTGGATGGCGATGTTAGGGTCCTCGTACATGTGTGGATCAACATAAGTCTTCAGAGGCTTGAGCTGATCTAAGGAGACAATTCCAACCATAATGGTTTACTAACAACACAATAACCTTATTACTATTGCATGTCGAGAAGGGTTTTCTAACCTGATGAGAAGTAGGGATCTTCCGCGCCTCCCCTGCCGCGAGAGTTCATTCTCCTGAGAGGAAAACATGAATAATCACTACGCGACTAAACAGAACATAGACTGACTCTCGGTAATTGCAGGTCAGTATCTGCTGAAAAAGACCAAAGCTGTTTTCAATAGCAGCACAGACATTACCAATAAACTCTTCCTGAGCTGTCAGACCAGAACATCTTTAATTTACTACAGCTTGTGGCACATAATCACACGGTTTATGCAGGTCTGTGAATAACATTTATCTGAATGACACAGGCGATGGATGTGAATATGAAGCATGTTGTTACCCACCGTCTACGCAGCAGCAAGACGGCCACCACAACAAGCAGAATAAGCGCTACTCCGGCTACAGCTCCCATCACCATGGTGGAGTTGTTCTGGATCTGTGACTCAGCTGTGCAAATCAAAAGGAAACAAAACAAATTTAGCGACTCGATAGATGAATTAAAGCGTTTTTACGGAGACTAGCTTCATTCGCTGTTGACTGCACGGCTTCTGGTACCTAATGGTGAGGTAAGGAAATCGTGCTCCACGCTGTATGTGCCGGGGTTTCCTTCAGGACTCAGGGCCTGGACCCTGAACATGTAAGTAGTGTCTGGGGTGAGGTCGTTAATCTGGACGGAACTTTTCTCCAGAATCAGGACTGTGTAGGTGGTCACGTCCCGCTCGCCATCACCGTCCTGCGAGGGGGAATTGGGCGGATTAGACATTTTGGGAAAAATGTAAAGCCTCAACTTTGAACGAGGGGAGGGGAAACAAAGGAGCACAAAGCACTTAGTCTTACCTTTCTGCGGTACATAAGCTCATAGCGGTGATTGATGTGGGCTGGAGGCCTGCGAGACAGAGTCCAGGACAGAGACAGGCTTGTGGGGCTGCGATCATCCAGATGGATTAACGTCACCTTTGGGGGATCTAACAGTTGGTGGGAGACAGAAAGAAAAATAAAGGTTAGTGACTAATCATAGTCTTTGGAAATAGAAGCCTTTGGGATTCAGCGGGTCAGACGGAATTCCTCTTTGTGGAGTAAACCCAGATTTTTGTACAAAAGGTTTTTAGTAGCACCAAAGACAAAGACAAAAAAGACTATTTCCCACCTTTTCATTTTGAACACTCAACATTTTTTTTATGATAAATAAAATTTGAAATGTATTTTACAATTTGGTATAACACCCACATGTTATGGCAGCTTGTGTTAAGGAAGCAGTTATGGTAAATCTTTCTTCACGATTTCCCAATAATGATCATTTTCACACATGTAGCAGTGGGGTTCGAGCAGGTAACGCCAAACAATAACCAGATTAAATCAAAGCACAAAGGAAAAGCTTTTCATGCGTTCAAGCTCACCTGTGTAGTCCAGAGCGGTGGTGATGCTGGCAATGGGCCTGTCCGTGCCGAACTGGGACACGCCGTTGTGAGCCTCAACGATGAACGTGTAGTTCAGATGAGAATCCAGGTCGCCAACGACGACCGTGCTGTCCTGCAGGTCCGTGGCGCCCGGCTCGAAGCGGATGTTCTCGCCGCAGGGGACACATGAGGCCTCGTCGCAGTGCTCGCACGCCACGCTGTAGGTGAGGTCGCTGCGGCCCCCGGTCACCAGCGGCGGGCTCCAGGATAGTTGCAGCCGGCCCTGTGCCGACAGGGAGGTGGAGGTCAGGTCACGTGGGGCACTGGGTGGAGCTTGGAGAGAAAGTACAAGACGCGGGACATTTAGCCTGATGTTCTAATGAGCTAAAATTTGACTTAGTAATATGTCAGTGAGTGTGGCTTTTACCAGAGCACGGTGACGTAGGGGAGTCCGAAGGGGACCGGAAGAAATCTTCCTCGCATTGACATTCAGTGGCACCGGCTGCGGACGGCTTGCTGTTATCAGGGCAAACCTGACATAACTCGCTTGATGCAGAAGCCTTGAAGTAGCCTGGTTTGCACACTGTGTGTGAGAGAGAGAAGGTGTGTGTGTGTTAGCTTAAGCCTGGCGTTAGGACTAACTGAAACGGACAAACACAGGAAGGGGTGACTGATCTAAAGGCAAACAATGAAGCTGTCTCTAGAATCCCAGTCCGTTCCACCCGACAGGAAGCATTTGTTGTGAGTAACCTATAATCACTGAGGCTTTGTATCCAGAGGAATGAAAAGGGATTTCCCTGACGATCTGCCCCTACTCGCTCTCTTTTTTGCCTGAAGGCCTAATCTCAGGTCACACCGCCAGTGTCGACCGGATGACTGCAGAGCGTTAAATCCATCAGCTGATCTGATCTAGCCTTTCACCAGTGAACTCTCGGCTCATATTCATCTTGGCAAATAATATTTGTGTTTTTGCCAAAGGAAATTGCGCCCTGGTGTTGTGATAGACATTTCAGTCTTCCAGGGCATGGGAGGTTAATGAACGTGCTGAAAGAAACCAGGATGCAAGAGCTGCAATTCAGTCTGAGGCCGATGTTTCCGTTCTTCCTTCCTTCTGCCAAGAGGACAACGAAATCAGGAAAAGGAAAAAGCTGCTGGAGACGAGTGTGATTTTTTTAGTGTGTTGATGGAAACAGACACACATATTCTCCGGGGTGACAAACCAGTAAAAAAGAAGAAAAAAAACTTTAAAAGAATGGATTTTTTGAAAGATCTCCTCTCCCTACTTTCATTCTGCAGTGTCTGAAGGGTGGAGGCTTTCATCATGCCCCCAAGCGCTGGTGGCCGTGAGAAGGGGTCGAGTGAACCTCGGATTAAAGACGTGGTCGCGTTGCTTCACCATTCAGGCGGAAAGACCTTTGCACTCCGAGTAGTGCCGCAACAGAGGCCGAAGGAGCAGGTTGAGTTTGAGTAGGAGGGATGAAGATGAATAGATCGGTGGGGGATGGGGGCAAAGGTCTGGAGCTCCAACAGAAGTTCTCCCTGGGGAGTCACTCGGCGGCAGTGGGGGTGTAGCTGAGGTCCTTTTCGCATAAGAAAAGAGGGCCAGGCTATTTCATCTTGAGCTGCAGCAGCAGGACCTCTGTCACGAACCAAAGAAACTCAAGCCCTATTCATCTATTGTCTCCGAGATTGGACAGAGTGGTGCTATAAATATGTTGGTTTACTCCTTGTGCGACTCCCAAATGGTGCCATGTGTGCAGTGCATGAGTACAAAAATTGTTAATGCAAACGGATTCTTGTGACCTGGTGGGTTATGGAATTTGAATGAAAGTTTGAGCGTTATTTTGTACCGAGAGGCTTGAAATATTGTTTGCATTTGTTCCAGAACTTGAATTTTTCCCCAGTTAATCGTCCCGCACTTCTTTAAGACCGCCACACACAAACGTGAAAAGGACTTAAGTTTCACACCGGTGCATCTGTTAATTGAATCGTTTTTTTGCCCTTTATGTCGACCCATTGTTCTACTGAGTGGGAACATGGATTAGGGAGCTCGTTGCGTGTGTTAACAACCGGATGAAAGAGCAAAGCGGGGCATGGCATTGGCCAACAGCTGTCCTGTTGCTCTACTAATCCTTTTGACTAAATTACACTCCACACCTAACTAAGCAGCCGGGAAACTAACCACCCTGGTGCGCCAACTGTCGACTGAATCCCCGCCCGCGAGGACAACCGTCTTATTCGTGTCCGTCAGCATTCCCCCTTATGGCGCTTTACTTCCTGTTCCCCCAACAGTTGTGGTCTTCAGTGGAATGCACATGCAGCCTCACTTTCTCTCTTAAAGGGGAAATAGGGCGTTGACTAAAACCTACTCTGTGTGTTTTAACAAACCCTTTGATATAACCCTGAATACTCATGTCCTCCACAGACTTTAGAACCACCGTTTTTTTCCATGTCTCCCTCTGCCAACTTCCGTTTCAAGAGATCTGCTCAGAGTCCACCTGTTGCCAGAAACCTCAAAGACTGACACAATCTGCTGCCATGACTTCCTCCCCGCATTCCTCCGTTTATTCAGTTTTACAACCTCCGGACAATATTTACTCTACGAAGCACTGTACTTATCTACCAAAGGTGTGTAGGGCTGTGACTAACAAAAACTTTCTTTAACTATTTATCTTGAAACTAATAGACATGACACAAAATAGTGAAACAATGCTTGTCGCCCTCTTTTAAATCACAAGGTAATCTTCAAATATGTAGTTTAACTAAGTGCAAAAACCAAAGATATTTAGTCTAGAGGTTTTTTTAAAACTAAGAAGAAAACTATTTCAAAGGCTGGTTTCTTTGAGTTTTGGTAGAGAAAAGAACTTTGGAGGATTGGGGATAATATAATAATCCAAAATGTTGTTTACTGTTATCGATCCATTAGCTATCGTCTTATTTCTTTAAACTGGGGAGAAGAATTACTCCAAAAAAGACTCAGAGTCAAGGTGACTCGGATAAGCCACAGCCTGACTCAGTCTACTCTCTTATAGGCGTGTCGGGCCCCATCCCTGTAATCTGTGGTTCCGGTCGCCTTAGCAACTGGCTCAAAACAAATACTTGGGGAGGAGACGACGCACCACTCAGGTAGTTATTCGGACAAATTCACACGGCTCCTTCCTTTAGTCAATCAGTGCTGTAGGTGACGCGAGGGTGAAAGAATTCCTTTGAGAAAGCCCTGCGGCATACTGTGCCCTTCCTCCCTCCTCTTTCTGTACCCGCTCTCCTCCCACGTTTCCTCCAGACGGCCCGACACACCACACCCGACAAAGACAAATTCCACACAAACCAGAGAACATAGCCCAGCTAGATCCTCCCGTAGGCCTCTTTTTGCTTGTTCTTTTGTATGTATGAACTAACTTATGCTTATGAATATGTGAATGTTTAAAAAGTATTTCAAGCAGAACTCTTTTTTTCAGCAACATTGTACATATGCACTGTAGTAGATAACTTTGGCAATTGTTATACAATCAGCTAATGTACTTTACTTCTTGAATGAATTCATCTCTTCCAAAAATGAAGCAAAATAACAAACCTAATTATTTAGAACGCCATTGTTTTAGTTTTAATAGTGCTTCATTTTCTACCGAGCAGTGACTTGTTGGACAATATTGTCAATCAACACCACATTGAAAATAAATTCCAATTTAGGACACAGACGTATATACAGTATTTCGTGGTATGTCGGCACAAAAACAGGCTCAGAGTACTGATGTACTGAGAATGATGTATTACAGTTTCTTGTGCTGCACATTATCACCCTCAGACATCGACCTATCCAGGGATCTGTGCCTCGGCCAGGAAAGAATGTGCAATTGGCCAACAGGTAGAGGGATTGACTGGAAGCTGTCAGAATTCCCCCAGTGGGTTTTATCTCACATGGAGCAATCCGTGGTTGCCGTAAAATCAAAACCAAACCGAAGATCTTGCCCGTTTCCTCCCCGTTGGCAATATGACTGAGTGTTTTCTGGTAGATTTCCATGCAAACTAGACACAATTAACATTCCTCTGTGCTCATTCCTCACATCTTGCCAAAGCAGCGGTTGGAGGAGTTTCATTTAATCTACTCTCACGGCAACTTAAACGTGCCTCAGCTGGTTGCGTGGCGTACTTCTGGCACCGCTTACCTTGGCACGAGTCCCCAGCGGCTTCGTAGCCAGCGAGACACTGGCACTGGACCACAGGAACCACCCATTCCCCCTCAGCGGTGCAGTAGATGCGTGGGGTGGCCCGACCGATGGAGTTCTCCACACAGGCTCCCTCCACCTCCCGCAGGGCATCCGCCACAGTCTCCGGGAAGGCCGCCAGGCTCTGCACGGTGGACGGGCACGTTTTGTAGTACACCCGCACCGACAGCAGAGCCACGCAAGCCCCCATGTCCTGGAACGCCAGGTAGAAACCCTTTGAAGACAGCGGCCCCACCGCCCTCGTCTCCGTGTTGACCTTCAGCACGCGGCCCCGCGTGACCTCGTCGGGAGCGATGGTGGCGACCTTGCGGAACTGGCCTTTGCGGAAGTTGGTCCCTACGTCGGCGTCGGCCTCCGAGATGAAAAGGTTGAAGGTTTCTTTGCAGGCGACGGAAGCGCCATCAAAAGTGTTGCAGTCGCGCACAATAAACCGGAGCTCCACAGAGACCCGCGTGGCCCCCGGGCGGCGCTGGATGAACGTTGTGCGTAACCAGTTGTCCTGCTCGGTGGAGTCGATGCTACAAACGCTGTAGGTGTAGAAGAGGGAGCCGTTCACCACCGTCTGGACTATCTCCCACTGTAGAACAAAGATAAAGGGGATTAGCGTCACGGACAAAAGTCAGTGTTACAAAGCTGATATGATGAAAGGAAGAAAAAGTACAGGGTTCAGATGCTTTGTTCTTGCTGAGAACCAGTTTTATTTGATGAGACACCTCTTCTTTCATGCTGACTGGGAAGCTCATAAAGTGCAGAAGTGAGCTGGAAGATCATTGGCCCGGACATGTGCCGGCGCTCACGACGCGTGTGGTTTTCCACGGACACACGAGGGTGCATGTGTTGAGATTCAGCAAAGACCACTAGAGACTACCAACTAACATTTATGGCATGAGCTTTATGAGCACAGAGGCAGCAAAATTGGCACCAATTTAGATTTAAGAGATTGATTTAAGAGAGCGAAGCAGTGACAAGCAGAAAGATTAAAAGGCTCCATATAACATTAAAACACCTCATATGTTACAACTACAGTGGCCTACTGGTGTGTTTCAAGAAATACATCAATGCTTAACTCAACATGTTATGAGGCATATGTACAGTATATACTTACACTCAAAAAAGTTGAATTGGTCCCATTTCGATTAGAGGAGACTTTGTTTTCATAGTTACACATATGAGCTCCTGTATATTTTCAACATATTAACACTTAATTACTTGTAATTACGATCGAACTTCTATTGTTCACTGTTTAAATTTTCATGAAGCAAAGACCACAACTTGTAAATAGTCAGTTTAAAGTGTGAGAACGTTGGAATAGAAAAAGAAAGCAGGTTTTGATGGAGAGGGGGAAATCGGATCAAACGAGAGCCGTTAGATCTTTTGAGAATGTAAGAAGAAACTTTGCCCACACAGTGGAAGTGGCTCTGTCCCATTGCTTTTTTTAGATGGAAAGCCACTGAACTATAGATAGAAGGATGGTTCTCCACACATGGACCATTTTTCCCATCTCTTTTACCTATGTCTTCCCACAACTATACATATAATCTCACTGCTGTGATCTCTAAACTCACAGAGGAATCGCAAAGAAATCCTGAAATTGAGTTCCTCGCTTCATTGTCGGAATAAAAACCAGATGCAAGACGCTACTGTAAATTTAAATGTAGGTTGAGCCTGCTTAATGGCATTCATAAGTCCTTTATGAAAGGGTAGTGTTAACACCAGACTAGCTCAGCGCTGCCAAACCTCTACCAGAGAGCCCTTTTGGAGGACTGGATGGGCAGAAAGGGGTCTGGGTTATTGTTGCTCAATAGTATGCAAATACTCCAACCAATCTGCTGCAGCCCTTTTGAAACATTCGTTGTCTTACTCAACAGAGACGTGGTTTCAGGTCTTGAACCTGAAGTCTTAAAAAATGCCTGAGGTATAAATACTCACTCCGTTCTCATATGGCAACGTCAACCAGCCCAACTCTGATCCTGAAGCTCTCATATCCAGCAACACTTCTACAGGGACAAACAGAAAAAACACATCTTGACATTGTACGGAAGCAACTAATAACATCTGATATAATGTTAAATGAATGTTCCTGCTGTTAAATTAGAAAATGACTATTGGACTGTATTTAAACAATCCGCCTTGATCTCTTTATGAGGGGCACATGCCACGCTTTGACGTCTAATCTGCCATGTCGGTCTGATTCACAACTTCATTGAGCGTGTCCTCCAGGTCCGGGATACAGGACTCATAATGTCTGAGAAAGGCGTAGGCACTTAAATGACCATGACGAGAGGACCACATGAACGTGTGCCAGAGGGAAACCATAGGTCTGCGTGTTAAGGCATCTCACAGGTGCCCTTTAATCCAAAGGGCCAGTGGAAAACAAGTAATTATCCTTAAAATCATTTAACATGATTGAAATGATCTATACCGTTTGAACTAATAAAAACAAGGTCAAAATGGTACTTTCAAAAGAGGCAGTCACCACATCTCTGTGGTCTATTATAGTGTTTACTGCAGTGATTGAAAAACCAAACAGAACAGAAACTTTCCTTTTAAAACAGTAGTAAGTAAGTAAGAGTAAAGCAAGCTTTAAAAATACCAGTCTCCTGACTCACGATGTCCGGTAAAGCTCGGCTACAATTATTTATTTTCACACAACACGTGAAACACTTACGTTCTTTCGACTGGAGGCTGATAAATACGTGATTGGTGAATAAAAACAAGAGCAAGTTGACCCGGCGCGGCTCCATGATTCCACACAACTTTAAATAAAAGCCGTGGTTTTCATATGAAATCCCAAAGCCTCGCTGCTCTCCTCCGTCCGTCCCGCTGGCTCCACTTCTCCAAAATACTTCACTCTGCCGGCTGAGTGAGCTCGAGCCCGCCGCCCATTGAGAAACAGGTGGCGTCATCGCCCCGCCCCTTTCACTTTGGAATGCTGAAGTTCCCCAAATACGGTAATATAGGGGCGGGCTAATATGGCCTGGCCGCACCTGTTTCACTGAGAAGGATGAAGGGCCCCATAAACTGCCTTGTCATTTTATTGATTTTTAAGCGCTTGTTAAATTAACAAATCAATATTTAGGTTATTAGATAATAGTCTAAACATTGCGCAGGTTTGTCAAACGGTGATGGTGAAAGTTGAAATACTCCCAATTTGAACCATTATTTAAATAGCCTATAAAATAATTTTATTATTTAATATTGGCACAATGCACTTAATGAATCAGACATTTATATCAATAAAAAGAAACCATTTAGGTCATATTATTATATTTACTCAGTGTTTGGACCCCTGTTTAGTAAAATATCTCAAATAGGAAGTATTATTATAGTATCAAAAGTAGTACTGATTATGCAGAATATGATTATGTCAATGTCAATAAATATATTCAAATGTTATGCCGTGTCTTGCTATTCTTTCTAATGGGAAATACTAATGTGCTGCAATTCTCTGGATTGAAGTCAAGTTACATTATTAGATGCTGATCTTTAAGCATTTTAAACAAAGCAGCTTGATTTAATTTCTTTCAGTTTTCATTCAAGTCTTTTGATGAGTTTCCGTAGTTTCTTGCACACGGTGTTGGACTTTGAATAACGATGGAACATCAAGCTTTACTGTAGAAAGGGGGTGAAAGATCCGTTCTTGTCCTGCTTGATCACATTTGCCCTAGGTATTTAAATATACCTTTTAAAGCTTTTTGGGATGTTTAATCTGTCCTGGTGCAATACATTGGGGCAGTTAAATGTTTTAAACCAAAAAGTGTCAGTAATACAACCCAAATGTGTTCCGACTTCACCAGCCTTCCAAAATGAAAGGCTGTTAAAGTTCTACAATCTTTTGACAACATCTTCCAAGTAATTGCCTGAATCCTCCACATTGCATCCAGGACTTGTCTTTCCCACGACTGGTAAGGGAGGGGTCAAGTGGGAGGGGGTGGTCTGGTATGAATATATGACTACTAATGAGACGCTCCTCATAAAGAACCTTACAATTTGGGTATGAATATGGGACCACAAAGAAGATCTGACAATAGCATCACCTAGCAACTCTTATCTGGAGGAATTTCAGAGTCAAGTTTGTTCTGTGAAGCGCCGTGTACTTGGAGTGTAGAGCCCCCTCGATTTGAGAGCCGAATACAGCCGGCCAACCTGACAAAGACCCCCCAAAAATCAACTGAAGATGCGAACATTGTCTTGTCCGACACTATCATACATGGACATTAATCATACAACAGGCGGAGTGTTGGTGAATTAATGAATTAACAAGTTAAGTGTGGGCTGATTTATGGCTTTCTGACCTTTTTAAGTGGCAAATACTTAAATTGCAGTTTAACATGATTTAACAAGTATATCCAAAAGTACAGCAAAAAAGAAGAAACCTGACTCCTTCCTGTTAAGTCATACTTTACAGTCTCTCTCTCTTTGTTTTCCTTTTAGGTTGAACTTCTCGCTCAAATATCAGCTGGTTTTAGAAACAAATTTTCAGTTCTTTTTTCTGCAGAAAGAAATATGATCCTCTTTTCAATCCCCCAAAGACCTGACACCGTGCTGTAAGATACAGACATCCCTCACTTTCAAATGATCCGACACACTTCGTTTGGAGTGTGAACCACCACTCGAAGGAAACTTCCATTTTAACCACTCAAGCGGCCCTTTCTCTCCTTTCTTGGATAGTTTTGATAAACACAGAGGTACGCTACGCTGAGGTGTTATTTTCGAGTGTGTTAATGCCAGACCCTGATAAGTGGTTTCTGTTGTCATCCAGTTCTCCAGGGTGTCAAAGGTTAACACCCTCTCTAACACACAAGTATGCAAATGCTTTCATTTCAATACAGGCTTCTTTTTATCCACCTAGTGCATGCGTGCTGCTAGACTGAGGCCTCACATCAGCCCCCCCGGGTGCCCAAACAACCACGCCCCCCCCCTCCCCTCTGGTCCCCGGCTTCTGAGGGTGATGACAACACAAAAGTACCTCACACTGGGGGCTGGGTCGGCATTTTGTGGGTCAGTGAATCGGAGGCCGAAGCAGCAACGTGTCATTCAGACCCTGCTCCCCCTCACACGCCTCGTGGTATCAGCAAACAGAGAAGGGGAACTATTGAAATCACCGGGGAGTTTTTGTGTGTGCTGCCAACATAAGATACGCCCAGTGGTATCCACCATTCCACCATCTCAGTGGGGGCCCCCAAAACCGCTTGTTAAGAAATGAAAAATGCACTGCTTTGTTAACACGTTTTGATGAGTTTAGCATAACCATCAGTAGTGGAAGACGTCCTTGGCTTATTTGCTAAGTAGTAAAGTAAGTAAAGTAAAGTGGCAATGCAACATAACAACAAAGCAAAAAGAAACCTTATATTGCATCTAGAAGTATTTATTATAGTTATATTATATAGAAGAGTCAATGTTTCATTATTATATTATGGATTCATAATCAATGATCCTTTAACAGTTAAGAGTATTTTAAGGTTGTAGTTGTCAAAATGGAGGGAGTTTTAACTCCTTCATTTGATAGTTCAATCAGTAATAATACATGCCACATTGGAAAAACATCAAATATTCTGTATGAAAATGTTAAATGCGAAGTGGACTTAGGAAGTGTAACTTTTAAATAAAGGCAGTGGAATAACAATTAATGCAAGTACCTCATAGTTTTACTGAAGTACTGTATTTAAGTATATGTAGAGCCTCTTTTTCTTGCTGCTGGTCAATTCTCTACCGAAACATATTTTATTGTTAAAACTGGATGTTCAAATACTATTTGTCTCATGTATCTGATGTTTCAGAATGAAGTTTTTTCATTCAAGCAATATTTTTAGTTGTATAGTAATAATATTAATTCAATGTCAGCTAGCTATCAAATAACAAAGAGCTTTATCTTTTGCACTAATAACAACGTAGACTAACAACAACAAAAAAGTGTTGAAGCCTTGGTGACTTTACTCTGATAATCAGGCTGGATTTGAATCACACAGGAACTGACCTGTGGCCTTATTCAGATGTCTGGAATGAGGTTAAAGGAGACATTACATTTTTTAGATAATCTTCTTGGTTTAAAGTGTTTGTATGGACTTTGCTACCCACAAAGGAGTGTGTAATCTTTACGATAAAATCTCACGATCCAAAAACCACCAGATGTGACGACAAAAACACAAGCTTTAATCTAAGCTTAATTCACTATTGTAGTTGTATTGACACAAAATCAAACCATACCGATAAGCTACATACAAATAAATTCCCTCATCTCTGCAACTTCTCTAAAGGTTTATAGGTTTCTCACCAAAACTGAATAAAAACCACCAGAGCACATAATGTGAGCGCTAATGTGCACTAGTAATTACACGGGTCCTAAACCACCCTCCTTTTATGTTCCTAACAAACACAAGGGATGTTGTGGAAGCTTCTTCATTCTGAGTCCTGTTGTCGGGGCTGAAAGGTCTGTGCATTGTTTAGTTTTTTTCCCGTTCGTATCCTCAGTCATCTCGTTGTAAAAAGCTCCACATGGCACCTCTGAAAAACACTACCTCTCTTCACTGGAATTTGGGGGGTTGTGTGTTGTCTATGTGGGCTACATTGTGTGCAGCGTAGCGTTCACAGACAAAAGGGAGAACACGCTCCGACAAGTTTTTGTCTTATGAGGAGATGAAATGTGAGAATGTGGTTTAAAACAAGGGATGAATCTATTTGTGGTTTCACCCTGATCCTTCATCACTAACTGCATCGGCACTGACCTCATCAAAGAGCAGTGAACGCCGCAGGTAAAGACAGGTCTTTTTGTTAGAATCCAAAGAAAGATGCTCCCACCTTTTGAAATATAAAACCACCACTAAGTACGTTTGACTTTAACTTTAATGACATTTATGTAGTCCTATTAGAGTGTAACAGGTTGTGTATTCAATTTATCCCACGCTGAGGTCACTGTAATCCTCTGCGTCTGACAAGTAGTAGAGTAGAGTGGGGGGACGAGGACGTTACTGAAAGTGAATTCTCCTCCAGTAAAGACCCGTGTTAAATGTAATGGGTGTTGGCAAAGGGGCCTAATAAAGATGACAGCACACATTCATATGCATTCGTTTGTGTGCTCAGCTTGACGAAGTCTGCCTCGCGGGCTTAACAAAGGGGAGGAAGGAAGCCAGAGGCTGAGGGGGCCTGGGGGGTGTGGGGCGACAACACACACACACACACACAAATACACACAGACACACATGTTGGCCCGAGCGTCCTGTGGTCTCTCAAGTCTGTTAAGTTATAGCAGTGACAGCTGGGCTAGCACGCTCTGCGTGGGCTCATTCTCTCTTTAGCGGCCAACCCCTCCTCCACACACACACACACACACACACACACACACACACACACACTCAAACACACGCGTACACACAGTCTGCGACACACACTCAAACTATCGCACACATGTATACGGGAGGCTCCATCCTGTTTACTGTTGACATTTCACAGTGGCCGACCAACTTGGGAGGGCTACAGAGCGTCATCACAGGCATTACAGCTGGTGTGTGTGTGTGTGTGTGTGTGTGTGTGTACGCACACGTGTGTAGCCTGCGTTAACATTTGGAGGTTAGACTTAAACACGTTGAGATGAAAGTTAATCGCTTACTAAACAGTAGTTAAGTTTACAAGATTTGTGGAATACAAAACCTTTTTTAAAAGCAAGAGGTAAAGCGTGATTTCAGCGTCTGGGTTACATTGTATGCATCGTGGCGCTGCGCAGTCAAAGTACCTGCTGTAACGACCACAACTGATCAGAAGAGGAAAAGGGAGGAAAAGGGAGGACCAGAGAGGGCGACTGCCAGTGTGGTCAACAACACCAGTTGGATCATTGGCCAAAAGGGCACCTGCTTTGTTCGAGGTAGGTCTGGATTCAGGGAGAGATGACACGAGACAGCTGGACAATTACATTACATTACAGGTCATTTAGCCGACGCTTTTATCCAAAGCGACTTACATTACCCTTTACAATTGACAATGCAGACAGGAGCTAAATGTTAGTTATATCAGAGTCGGCAGTTTGTGTTATTATGATTATTTAAAAGAGCACAGCTTGTTGACATTGCAGAGGATAGCTGTTATTTTTCAGTTGGCGATGGAGCTTTTAGAGCTCATGACATTTGATTGATGACCATCCCACTTTGTATAAGTAGAAAAGCGGCTATAACACGGAGACGCCAACAGAGGTCCCCATTGTGTGGATAATACCCCGGGATCTACAGCTGCCCACAAGCACTGGGCATTTACTACAACTGATACAAATAAGTGTAGAGAAGTTTAATAATCCAATACTATAGTTTCTTTTTAATTATGTAAAAGAGCATTTAGACGCCATCACTAAAAGACTTTCTTTTCCTGAGAAATGTGCAGAGCATTTTATTATATTGCTTCACTTAAATTACTCTAATGTTATACAGTATATATGTCGTATAGTTTGCAGAGAAAGACAAGATGAAAGGGAGACTGGACTCGTGTACCTTGATCATCTTTGTCCATCACTTTAAATCCAAACCATGTCAATACAAACAGATTTATAGTGTGTCTTATTTTGGTTGTTGCGCTTTTGCGTTTCTTTGTAATATGACATGGGTTGGTTGTGTTCAATGTGTTCACTGACTAAAGTAAGTTGTAGTGGTTAAAAAAAGAAAAAAAGAATTATAACAGTCGGTGCTTTGACCTGTATCCTTTATAATGTATTGGCTTTCTCAATAGCACAAAGTTCTGTGAGATTCTCGTGTTTGAACCTTGCACCAATAGGCCCCAAATCACTTTTTTCTCCTTCAACTCGACATATGCACAACGTCACCCTGCTGCCTCCACCTGCACAACGTCGCCCTGCTGCACAAAGTCACCCTGCTGCCTCCAGCTGCACAACGTTGCCCTGCTGCCTCCACCTGCACAACGTCGCCCTGCTGCACAAAGTCACCCTGCTGCCTCCACCTGCACAACGTCGCCCTGCTGCACAAAGTCACCCTGCTGCCTCCACCTGCACAACGTCACCCTGCTGCACAAAGTCACCCTGCTGCCTCCACCTGCACAACGTCACCCTGCTGCACAACGTCGCCCTGCTGCCTCCACCTGCACAACGTCACCCTGCTGCACAACGTCGCCCTGCTGCCTCCACCTGCACAACGTCGCCCTGCTGCACAACGTCACCCTGCTGCCTCCACCTGCAGCGAGACCTGTGTGCCAGAGGCGGAGCCACGTGTCACGTGATGCAGGAAGCGTTTAACTGATGTGACGTTTCCCTCTTCCGTGTCCCCACGGCAGGTTCTTATTCATTTAACTTTTTACACAGTCCGTCAATAGTCGTGTTACACTTTCTTTTCAAGTTATCAATAGCTCTGGTGAAACTGCAGTAGTTAGCAGAAAAGGGATTTGTTCGCTGTATGTAGCGTAGCTTGACCGCTAACGTTACGCTAACTAGCAGGTGGAATCGTTGGATGACGTTAACGTTACAATCGACCGAGCCGTTCATCTGTCGGCGTGTGTTTGGGAAAGTAAGCGACCACGAGGGGTTGTAACGTTTAATAATGAATTCGCTTTGTCTGAACGGACAGTTCCTGTGTTTAAGATCAAACCACGTAACGTAGCGTTGACGCGGCTACGCCCACGTAACGTTACGTTCAGCATGCAAGAGCGGTTGGGAACGCAAGTTACGTTCCCGACGTAACTAGTTACGTTCATTCCGGATGTCTTGTTGTTCAACCTTGTAAACCCTGCCACCGTTAAATAATCCCGTTGAGTTCATTGACACGCATTCATAGTATAAATTAACAACATCATTAGTTCACATCCGCATAGAATCAATCGCTGCAGCCAAAACTACACTGCAGTTATATCCCTTTTTAAATGGTTGCACTGTTATATCAGGATTACACAGCAAACTATTTTGGGTTTGTAGCTGCTATCAAGTGTAAAAAATAACAAATTTATAAATCTACTGTTCAAGGTATCTGGAATATTTGATCCCAAACACAGTTTGATCTTTGAGTTTTTGTCGTCTGTGTGACAATATTGACTGTCTGTCATAGTCCGAGCAGTTTCTGAGTCATTATTTGTTGAAGTTATCACAAGGGACCATTTATGTGGAGCTCGTTATGTGATGAATATCTTATACTGGCCAAAACAAAATTTTATTTTCACATCAAATCCAAATGTCCTCCTTTGTACACTAATCTTCCTTGATTTTTGTTGAGTTTTGTCATGTGCTTAGTGCTTTATATCAGTGCTAATGTGTTATAACCACTAGCTCCACTAGGACTAACATATGTGTCCTAACTAGGCTACATGCAGCTATATGATATAACAAGGATCTCTCGTGTTATCAACTGGAACGTTGGCCACAGTTACATGTGTTCGTTCACCTTATCATTGGGTCTTGCGGGCTATCGAGGTTGAACTTTTTTTCAGTTTTATTTGCGTGAAACTGGCAGGTGGACAAATTGCTGCTGCCGATGAACTTTCAGCCAAATGAAGTGATTTCAATCTTCATTATGTGGCTGAAGGTTTCTTTTGGATGCCTTTGTCATTCGTGAGCTATTCACAAGTATATCACTGCACATCTTTTTGCTAAACTAACCTTGAATAGGTTCACCTGCTTAATGTAAGGAGGGAAACCTCCCCGGCAGAAAGCTCACACGTTATTCACTGCAGACTGCTTGGCTGTGACAAACGTGACTACAAAGATGCAAACAGAAAGCTGTCGTATCCCTGTAGTGCTCAACACAACTAGTCACCCCTTAGACAAGTCCTCATTGTACGTGGAGGAAATGCATTTGGGTTAATAGGTCACATATTTAATGGAAACTTATTTATAAATTCCCCAGAATAGGATTTAGTGAATAAAAAGACGTGTGGCTGTGAAGGATTATGTGTGAGAACTAAATAAGAGGAAGTGAAAATGCTCTTTTTGCTCATTCTGTGTGGCAATTTTGACTAGTCAATTTGTGGTGGAATCATGTGTTGTTTGAAGGACTGTGCAGAAATGCAAAGCTGAACGAAGACGGCGCCTTTCAAGATTAAATGCAACCTAATTTATTCCTGTGTGGGTATAGGCACAACAGTAATAGCCGAGGAGCCGATAGGGAAAACTGAAGCTCACGTGTGGTATGTGGTTTAGAAAGAGCGATAGAGTGAAAAACTGTGTCCTCGTGTAGGTTCATATTGGGTGCAGTAATCCTTGAGAATGAAAAGCCATTCCTTAATCAGCTGCTGTTGAAGCAGCGAGGTGGCCTCTGCTGTTTGCATTGCCGCTGTGTAAACACAATTGCGGAGAGCAGGGATTCCAGATGTTGCATTGGGTTTGATGTGTACAATGTTCAGTCTCCCTAGTGAGAGGGGTAAAATAATACGTTCTCTGTCATTCATCAGGTTTCTTTAACTACAGCTCTATAATGCTGCTTGGCTGCGAAATTTAAAAAATGCTTCCGCTCTTTGAAAGGATGAAGACCCAGATACCCTAATATAAAAAATAACTCAATATTTATCAGTGCGATTACACAAAAAGTTTCTTTTCTCTACTCAAGCCACGATGAGGCATTAGATATTTGTGATCTCTCCAAGTTAATATGTATACAGCCAAAATCCACACAGCTTTGCAGGGGCCAATTGCAGCGGACCTCGCGTTGCCTTCAGCGTACTCTTACTGAACATTTGGCCTTGACTGCAACAGTCCTGTCAGGCTCAACTAATTATTTTAGGCCAGTTGAGGTTATTGCGGCGTCATCATCAAGAGTTGGTTGGACATTGGCTGCACTCTGTCAACAATGGAGAGGTTGTATGGGAAGCTCAATGCCCCTGAGCAAAGTGCAAAGTCTACACCCCTTTGCTCCACCAGCATACTAGGAATCAGTGATCGTTTCCATTACAAAATTAGAGCTGCAACGCATCGCCGGCTCTCAAGCGACTTCATCCCAGCTGGAGAAAGAGACGGTGCGACGTCATTTATTGCTCATTTAACTCCTCATTTAACGTCTAATTTGTGTAAGTCAAGGTTACAGTACGTATGGATTCGCGTTCATAGCGTTCCAATTATCTATCTACTCTTATACGTGTTTAAGGGACTAATCTTAATTGCGACATGTTTATGGATATTTGACATTCCAAAAGAAGTTCAGCAGTAGCTATTGCATGTATGTGTTGTCAAAGAGGTGAATGTCGATTTGTGTATCACTTGTGACTTTACTGCAACGTGCCATTGATAAGACAAAGGGGGCAACTTAAATGTTTAAATGGCTTTTTATCGCAAACATTTAGAGCTGTTTATTCAATGTGTTGATCAAGAGCGTTGTGACCAGTGCTCATTAACAGCAAACTAAAGAATCTGCAAGTCTTTTAAATACAAGGAATTCGGCAAATTATACTGTGCAATTTCATCATATTTTCTACATGTTATGATTATTACCTATAAAAGTTTCAGATTCATCAAACGTGTAAAAATAATAATTTTTTGCAACCCTACAAACATACATTTTCCTGCTTTGTGTTCACCCTACATTAACCTTTGATGCTCGGTGGTGCTCGATATTCACCCACATTGTGATCTTATGTCTCTGGCGGCTGCGTTCATACAGGAGTGTCCACAGCATGATCGTGCTCCTGCTTCTGGTCACTCTGTGTGCCCACGGAGGGAAGGGCGAGGAGAGCGCCGGGGCCCCAAGGAGCGGCCATGTTTCAGTGGTGATAGTTGGAGGCACAGGGGACCTGGCCAAGAAGTACCTGTGGCAGGGCTTCTTCGAGCTGTACGTCCACCAGGTCGGAAGCGGAAACACCTTCTCCTTCTATGGCGGGGGATTGTCCCCCGCCGACGCGGCCACGCCGGCCCTCTTTGAGATCCTGAAGGCGGTGTCCTGCTCCAAGGACGCGTCGGAGGAGCGCTGCGCTCTGCTGAAAGAGCAGTTCCTGCGGCTCGCTCGGTATCGGCAGCTGAAGACCCTCGAGGACTACCAGGCTCTGGCCGAGCACATTGGGCGGGAGCTTCAGCAAGAGGGAATCACGGAGGCGGGCCGGCTGTTCTACCTCTCCCTGCCGGCCTTCGCCTACGTAGACGTCGCTGATAAGATCAACAGGAGTTGCAGGCCGACCGGCGGGCCGTGGCTGAGAGTGGTCCTGGAGAAACCTTTCGGCCACGACATCAGGAGCGCTGAGGTACTTGCGACTCAGCTCGAGGGCTCTTTGAAGGATGAGGAAATGTACAGAATTGACCACTACTTGGGGAAGCAGGTAAGCAAGTCTTGCAGTGTGTAGGCACGCGCCCATCGCCCCTGAAGTCCGTAATTGGGATGAAGTAACGGTGCGTGTGATTCTGTGAAAAGGTCGTTGCAAAGATTCTTCCGTTCAGAGTGGAGAACAAGAAGTTTCTGGATCCCATCTGGAACAAGCACCACATCGAGAGGGTGGAGATTGTAATGAAAGAGACTCTTGATGTTAAAGGTTATTTAAAAACGCCCTGGTAATTTTGCACTTGAGTCTTTTTGAGAAATGAATAATATAATCATGTGTTCTCTCTTTTTCTTTTTTCTTTTTTTTTGCCCGCAAGGTCGTATTTCCTTCTATGACCAGTATGGGGTGATCAGAGATGTGCTGCAGAACCACCTGACTGAGGTCATGACCCTGTTGATGATGAGGCTTCCCACAAATCTGAGCAGCAGTGAAGAAATCCTCCAAAGGAAGCTGCAGATCTTCAGTTCCATGCTGCCTTTGAGAAAGAATCAAGCGGTGGTGGGCCAGTACCAAGCTTACCAAACAACAGTGCAGCAGGAGACGAATAAAACCAAAGATCATGTCAGCCGCACGCCAACATATGCAGGTGATTTTATATATCATTTACTGTTGTAAACCACTTGCTATACAACAAATACTGTTCTTCTGATAATACGCATGCCTTTCAGCTGTACTGGCACACATCGACGAGGCCCAGTATGAAGGGGTGCCAATCCTTTTGATCTCAGGCAAGATGTTAGATGAACGGGTGGGATACGCACGCATACTTTTCAAGAATGACGTCTTTTGTCTTCAGAGCCGCGACGGCGTCCACTGCAAGCCCAAACAAATCGTTTTCTACTTTGGGCACGGCAGCCTTCAGTATCCAGCCGTTCTTGTGAGTAAGAATTTGTTCAGGCCAGTTGTGACGGACAGTGAATGGACGGAAGTGACCGAGCATACAGATGTCAATATTCTAGGTTTACCTATTTCAGACTATTATGTACAAACTCCAACAGAGCAGAAGGAAGCCTATTCAGAACTTATTTCTCAAATTTTTGCTGGATGTAAAAATAATTTCATCAGCACTGAAAACCTGCTGGCTTCCTGGGGCTTATGGACACCACTACTCAATAGCCTAGCCGGCACTTATCCCCGCATTTACCCCGGGGGGGGCGACAACAGAGACCTGCTGGACATCCGAGTGAATGGCAAAGACGTCGGCTACACCCGCGAGGTGGTCATCATCAGCCCCGAGCAGATGGGCGCCACGTCGGCAAACAGCTTCCAGGTAATGCAGGGCAATTTCCGCAGGGCCGACATGGTGTCGGCCTGGCCCGAGGAGCTGGTGGAGAGGCTGGCTGCGGACATCCAGAAAGAGGCGGAGGCGGCCGTGCGCGAGGGCAACGTTTTCCATCTCGCCATCTCCGGCGGGTCCACCCCGCTCGCTCTGTTCCACAGGCTGGCCCTGCATCACTTTTCCTTCCCCTGGAGCCACACCCACGTGTGGATGGTGGACGAGCGGTGCGTGCCGCTGACCGAGCCGGAGTCCAACTTCCGCGGCCTGCATGACCATCTACTGCAACACGTCAGGATCCCCTACTTCAACATCCACCCCATGCCGGTGCAGCTCAACCAGCGGCTGTGTGTGGAGGAGGACAGAGGAGCGGCGCTGTACGAGAAGGAGATCAGCGGGATGGTCCACGGCTCCAGCTTCCACTTCGTGCTGCTGGGAGTCGGATACGACGGCCACACGGCCTCACTGTTCCCCGGCGGCAAGGCGGACGAAGTCGGGGAGGGTCTGGTCGCGCTCACCGAGAGCCCCCTCAAGCCTCACCAACGCATGAGCCTCACGTTCAGCGCCATCAACCGGGCTCGCACGGTGGCTCTTCTGGTGATGGGCAAAGGCAAGCACGAGCTGATCAGCCAGCTGAGCCGCGTGAGCGACAAGCCGGACAAGTGGCCGGTCACTGGGGTGAAGCCCGCCGACGGCCGACTGGTCTGGTACATAGACTATGATGCACTTTTAGGATAGGAGTTAAATTCCCAACTTTCAATTCCACTTCTTTTCTTTCTTTCTTTTTTATGACCCAGCAGGATCAGTGGGTTTTCATGTTTTACTTTACTAATCTTAATTCAATTCAAGCTCCCTCCAAGTTCACCACAATGAACTGTACGTAAACAATGACCCATTGTTTCTGATCACGGCGGTCCAAGCAGCTGGACGTGGCGGAAAGACTCCGGAACAGAAGGAGCCCCGCGGTGCTGCCACAGATTCCAGGAATAGATTTCTTTTCTTTTCTTTTTTTTTGTCACAGGATTGAAATACAATAAAGAAAAAAATCTTCTCCGAATACATACCGACCCGAGCTCTCCTATCGGTGCTGTCATACCATCCGGTGTGTGTGTGTGTGTGTGTCCCGTCCGTCTGTCCGTCCGTGCGTGTCCGGCCCATCCATCAGTCATCATTCAGGTTATGTGGCACTTTATGTAAATCTGATGAAGGAACATCTCGTACCAAAAAAACTATTCCGACAAACGAGGACGATGGCTCATAATCCAGATTGTCTGAACTCAGGTGATTTTGTGAATTCACAGATGCGCTGTGTAATCCACACTTCTTGATTGTATGTCTTCTATTGTTGTGTGGCAGCGACCTGGTGAAGTTTCCTCGGCGAGTTGGGAAACTCTGCGTGACTTCATTTTGATATATTTATTAATGATTTACGTTATTGAAATGATTCAGGTAATTCAAAATATCAGGTGCTTCATTAATAGAAAGGCAATTTTAAAAATGAAAGGAGCAGCTTTATGAAATGAACATGTTGTTTTCTATACTTTCCTTGGATCAAAATGTCACTGAGTTTCAGCAGTCGTGTTCTCGCGCCTCTTTTCTAGTGACTGATGAGCATCATCTCAGTTGAAAAGACATTGCCCTGCATCCTGTTCTCTTTTGAAAAAAAGTCTGTGAATTACCATAATTACATTAAAACAATATTTTGACCATAGATTGTAAAGTGAACTTTGTGTGTTGTTATTTTGATTAACATCATTTTCCATTTTGGGAAAGTTACAAACTGATTCAAATCCAAAGCATTTCATTCTTGCTATAATATTTAATGTACTCTTTCACTACTGGGATAATTATTATGCACTAAATCTACAGCCAGAAAAACACATTAATATCCTGACTGATTGTTACATGAAACCAATGTCCGGCAAATAAAAACAAACTTTTAACAATTGACAGAAACACAGAAACTGCTTTTCTTCAGTGAGCATTACAACCAAAGAAGGATTAAGTCACTTTCTCATGGCTTAAAGTTTCCATTTGCTCGTGGCATGGAAACCACATGAAATCTTAATATGTGGAGTCTCCGGTGTCACCGCGAGACAGCTGGACCGCTGTGCCGCTCATTGTTTCTGCTCGGGTCCGTCACGCGCTGCCTGATGGACAACCAGAGTCTCGCCATGAAAAACCCTGAATAGACACAGGCAGGTGTTACTCCTTTAAAGGGAAAGTCATCCAGCGTACCAATGTTCTATAATTCAGAAGCGCTGTACTTCACCTGTACTGAAAATGGAAGCGACAGTAAGAACAAGGGATGTGTAGTACAGCTCCGGGGTGCTTCTGGCCTGTGAACACACGTTCATGTCCGTGGGTTTGATGCTGCGGTTTCTCTACGTAACCTTGTGATAACGCCTCACTCATTGTCTTACACATGCTGCTGCTGTCAGAGTCAGGACGGCTGTGCACAGTCCTTGTCCACATGTCAGCAGGCCAAACACGTGATAGGAGGCCCACAAGCTCGGAGGAACCGGGTCCATCAACGTGAAAATCACAGATAAACCTGTTGGAAGAGTCTCTGTTACGTCCCGTGTTGATCTCTTATGTAGTGAACGTGTTTTTTTTAAAGGTATCAGGTGGGATGGGATTTACCGGAAGCTATGAAAGACAAGGCGATTGAGGCGGATAAGTTGTTGAGAAGAGGCTGCACGCAGTATCTGGTGGATTTGGGCCTTAAAGCAAAGAGGACGGCATGATTCATTTCCCATTGCCTCTTGTACAAGTGACCCATGGCCTCTACGGCTCCGTGCCATCCCCTGTGTCCTAGTTACCTTCCCATGACGTAGAACTGAGGGACCAGGACAAGTGCCACGAACAATGCGTTCACTATTTGACTGTAAGACAGAATAAAACCTCACTGTGAAACCTATTGTAAGGCGAGGTATTGTTTTCTATCGGATCGAGACTAGACACGACTAATGAAAACAGAACTTACAATTTTACCCTCTGGCTCCTTGGTATCCATCTGCTGCTGTGATACGCCATGAATATCAGCATGTAGAGAAACATGGACGCTGCACTCTCAGGCCGACTTCCCCGCAACAATACTCCTGATGGCTGGCTGAGTTCTGCTGGGAACCAACAGGAGGGAGGGTTGTATTTCAGTGCTGCACATGCTGCGTATTGTATTCCCTACAGGCTGAACATCTGCACATGAGTTTCTAACTATAGGCATCTAAGAATAAAAGCCTGTGTAGAGGTCCTATGAGCAGGAAAAGAGTGTTATACCTCCGGTGCTCCTCCTTTGTGTTTTACTCAAAATAGTCGCAGGCAGCAACGCATTACCCTTGCCCCATATTGACACACCATGATGAAACATCCCTCCCGTTCATTTAAAAGCACTTTGCTTCTGATACACATGCCTTTGAGAGTCAGAGATTCAAACATCTAAAGATGCCTGTCGACTACAGCGGGACATGGGACATTGTCAGCAATGTCAATTTTGAGGGATACATGGTTGCACTTGGTAAGTGTCGGCTCTTTACACAGAATTGGAAGTATGAGCATTTTCTTTCAATGAATGTTTGGTTAGGTTAATGTAAACTTGTTTATCATAGTGAATTTAGAAGTTTAAATTAATCTGTGAACAGTTCTTTGAGTGAATGTCTTATAGTGTTACATGTCCAGAGAAAGTGAACGTTTTTTTATTTTCTGATTAGAGCATGACGGGCTTGGTGACATGGTGGAGTTAACAAACTTGTTCTAAAAACATTCCTCCCTCTTTGACACACAGGCATTGATTTTGCAACTCGGAAGATTGCCTCAATGTTGAAGCCCCAGAAAGTGATTAAGCAAGACGGAGATTGTTTCACAATCAAGACATTCACTACATTCAAAAATTACGAGAGTTTGTTTAAAATTGGAGAAGAGGTCAAAGAGGTGACTAAAGGGATGGACAACAGGACATGCCACGTAAGAGCTTCAGTACATATAATATTTTAGTCACGCATTTTAATGTTATGATCAAAAGCAAGCAAATTACTGTTTTGTGTGACTGTAGTTTAAGAAATGTGCATTGGCTGTGTTTGTATTTCATGTTTGTTCTCCATCAGACTGTGGTCAACTGGGAAGATGATAAGCTGGTGTGTGTTCAGAAGGGAGAAAAGAAGAACCGAGGGTGGACTCACTGGATTCATGGAGATGAGCTTCATCTGGTATGACTAGTCTTCATTCTGGTGACCCTTACACTCCAGCTGGTGTTTGTGATGAGGAATATATTAAGTCCACACAACTTTGTCATTATTTCTATTATTCTGTGCAATAACCCAAACCCCAAAAGAAAAAAGGATACAATTCATGTAATTGTGTGATCGTTTTTAGCATTTTATTCTTACCATAGCGTGTTAGGACATTTTACAACTTATATTTTAGTTATTTTATATGATATTTTCTCTCCCCAGGAACTTACTTGCGAGGATCAAGTCTGCAAGCAGATTTATAAAAGGACTCTGTGATCTTGTCTTTTAAGAGAACTCCAATCAACGCATTGTGAAGAAATGAGATTGCTTAAAAAGCCACACAATATAGCTCATATACTCATAAAGAGCATGTAATGTGGGTGTGGTGTAATGTAATACCTCCTCCGCACCACCCGGTGGCGCTGTGTATTAAACAAGAAACCAAACTCGGACGTTGTGGGCGTGGATTACTTTTACCCGCGAGTTTTTGTTTTTGTCTCGAAATATGTGTTCGTAATTTGGCGTCGACGTTACATCTTGTTTTTTTACTCTTTCTTACTCGATTGAACCCGCCGTGAATAACAGAACATGTCCCTCGATGGAGACGAGACTCAGCAGGTAAGAAAGTAAGTGCGCGTGTGTGTTTGTGACGTTAGCTCGTTAAGCTATCACATCTGTTTGCCTGTGGTAGGCTAACACATCAACCATTGATTTATCTTCATCTGATCAATGGTTTTGACCTCAGAGGTTAAAGGCAGCGGTCCATTACACCGTTGGTTGCCTGTGTCAGAGGATGGGAGACGAGCACCGGAGACCGTTCAGCCGACAAGTCGTGGCGGCGATTACCGAGACCGCGTTCAGACAGTGCGGTGGGTGCGCATCGCTCCTTGAGTCACTTTTAGTTTTTTGTTCGTTATCCGCGCACCTGGGTCAAAATCTACTCCGTGCAAAATGTTCAAAAACAACACATTATCAAGATGTTTATTTATCAGAATCAATAGTTAATATTAGGTGTATTTTTGTGATTCAAGAAGATCGAGCAGCGCTACACAACCATTTCTTCTGCAAATTGCTTTCTGTTCCCTAAAAATCACGTTTCTGAAAATGTGCTCTTTTGGCATCCACTCATCATTATTTTACGATGCTTTGCAAAGTGATGAAACAAAGCTCTTAAAACGGTTTACCATTTCATTTTTAAATTCATTTTGTTTTCCAGGTTTATTGGGAAAAGTACAGAGAAACATTGTTTAACTAACTGAACCCATGTGCATGCATACTTCTCATGTGTTTTAAAAGTACAGCTGGACAAAAAACCATTCACATTATTTTCTAATTGCCACCAGTCAATCTTAACTCAATTCCCTCATTTTTTTCTTTCAGATGTATTTGCTAAAGACCTGGAGGCCTTTGCAAGGTGTAACTTTTTTTTGTCACCATAACACCCTAACCTGGCAGATGAGTTACCCACGTGCTCTTTTTTATTTTATAAAATACCTGGAGAAGTTGTCGACAAAGTGTAATCTCCATTTTCCATAATGCATATAATTTAATTCAGTCTTTGATTTCAGGCATGCTAAAAGAAGCACGGTGTCTCCGGATGATGTAAAGCTTGTAGCCCGCCGTAGTACCGCCTTGGTGAGTTATTTCAAATCTATTTAAAAAAAGGAATTATTCAACAAATTGTTTAACTTATGAGCCACCAAATCGAAATAATTGAGGTAATCCAGTGAATCCATGTCTCATTGTCTTACTGTCCAATGTTATGCAACAACCGCCATGTAAAATTCCTTGTATGCAACATATTTTGGCAATAAACGTTCCTGATTCCTGAATGTAGGCCACTCAAACACAATTTCACCCTATGTAATACAGAAACTATGTAGGGGGATATATATTCTACAGCAGACTTGTTTGATTTGCCTTTATTTATTTCAGTCTGTCTACATACATAATAAAAGTGAAGAACTGATCCAAGAGCAGAGGGATTTGAAAAAGAAGAATACTGGGAAGAGGAAAAGCAGAGACACTGAGGAGGAGAGCAGAGAATAAGGACAGAACACCGGCAGAGCTGCCGGGTCGCACTGGTTGCCAACATTCAAATGAACAATAAAGTTTACTTATACATGATGACAAGTTACGTGTCAATGGTGCCATAGCCATGATTTTATGGAAATGATCCATTTCAACTGTCCAGGGTTCTACAAAATAAATCTTTGTTACATTTTGAATTAAATAACTTTTGTGAGTTGTGTTGATGCAATGTCATATGGTATCACATTGGCACTACTGTGACAATAGTGATGCCTGATTGGATTATTAAGTATAAATAAAGCTCTTTTTCTTAGTGACAGACTACAAGATCCTAAATTATATATCTGCCTTGATCACGATTTAGGCCCCCTATCTGCTATATACACTGACCTCTTAACGGAGGTACACCTCCTGAAATCAAATGCAATCCAATAAGTCCATTACACACATTCTTCTAACCTTAGTCCCACCCCCTGAACTTCAACTTCAAAGTAGCTGTGGACAATTGAAAAGAGATCATATCTGCCGACAAGCTATCAAAAGCAGCAAACGGACAGGTACTAGCCCGGGGTCTGAGAAGGCCACACACTGAAAGTGTTGGAACTTCTGTCTTCATCCTTCAGAACAGACTTCAGTCAGGATGCAAACGGAGACCTCGACCAGCGGAGCCCAAGGTCCCTAGATATGTGAATCGAATTAGATGGGGTTTTTTATTTGACAAATGGACCCAATTAATATCAACTAAGCATCTATTCAAATGAACTTTATTATGGAACGCCCTTCATTTGACATGTTTTTAAACACCTCACAAACAACACAAGAGCTACTGGGAGCCAATGGACACACCACGTTCTCACACTATCACTCGCGTCCCCCAGAGTCTTCAGCAGGTGTCATCCACATCAAGTACACACTTACATATCAGTTCAAGAACAGGAAAGCACACACCATTCAAATCAGATTATATAAGCAATACAAATATTCATCACAACATTCCACTACATTTTGATGTTTCTGCACTTGATCAACATACTTAATAAAAAGTAAGGAAAATCGTGTAGCGATTAAAAAGAAAAAATCTTGAAGTACTACTTAAAGAATGTCCATGTAAGGGGGAGGCGCTCGTAGCGTCTGCAGCTTCCACTCACACATTCAGAAAGCAGTCAACTTGGGCTCTTACACTGCACAGCCAGTCCGTTTCACGCTTCTCTCCGTTCGCTCACTCATCGCTTCATTCTTCGTCACAAGCCATCCTCAATCGCACTCATCAGTTCTTAAAATGTCAGTTGCGCAGTTCTTTCCATTTAAAAGTGGATAAAAGTGAAAACACCCACCGTCTCTCAGAACATGCGGAGTGAAGCCGTTCTTTGATGGCATAGCATTTACAGGTGGGAAGAGGGAGAATGATACCGATATCACCCCAAGAATGCTGCCAAAGAGGAGCTTCCTCACAGGAAAATGGAAGAGAGGTGAACTGCAGAAGAGATTTCAATGAAGGCTTTTCCACAGAACTTGACTGTAAATAAAGTTGCACTTAAAACATTTAGGTTTCAACCAGATTCTTCCCAATGCAAGATTGCCTTTTTAAGTCGATGACCAAGCCGGATAATGGTGAACCACAAACTTTCATGCATTTTCAAAATGGTTATCACATTTCACAATACATGCATTAGAGAATCCAGTTGAAATGGATACAAACAAATGAGATCAAAAATAGCACTTTAGTCAGACATCCTAGTAAACGATTCACTTCAACACTTTCTAAATTAAATCTTTAGCATTTTTTCCAAATGTACAAAACATTTCCACAAAAGTGTTAAGTTGTCGGATACGCATCCACACCAGAAATACATTTTGAAAAGACTCATCTTTGTCACAATACTTACCATACAAATATTTAGCTTACATACCCCACCCAGATGACTTTGACTCCATACTGGACCCAAAACCTGAACTGAACCCACTACCGCTGGTCGCAGAGTTCGACCCTGTTCCCCAGCCGAGACCGGCTGAGCTGGTGCCATAGTTGCTGTTTCCTGCACTGAAAGACTGACTCTGGTCCCGACTAGAACTTGTTCCACTGGAGGTGCTGCCGGAAGTGGACGTCTGCTGCTGGCTAGCCAGCATACCCATCATCCCCCAACTACTCTGCAGCGCCGCCTGAGCCGCGGCCATCATAGCGGGGTTCAGGCTGAAAGAACCAAAATTAGCCAGACTACTGTTACTGCTGCTCCCCCCTAACCCACTACGGCTGCTACCAAATGCTTGAGCTCCAAACCCGTTCCCAAACCGCGTTGTACGATCAAACTGCCTATTGCCATGTTTGGGCTCAGCATTTGAGATGTGAACACTGACACCTTTGATTATTAGGTCCTCTCCACAAAGAGACTGTGCAACCTGTGACGGAAGGAAACAAACAAACAAAAAGAGACACAAATCAGGTCACCTGGGCAACGGTACCACTACAACAGGATGTAGCGTCTACAATTCCAACTGTGTACCTGATCATCTGCAAACGTGACAAAGGCAAAAGCACGGAATGGCTTGGGGATGAAGACATCTGTGACCTCCCCGTACTGCATAAAGAACTGCCGAAGGTCATCAGTGGTCATGTCCTCTGTGCAACGGCCTACAAACACTTTCCGGCTCCTCAAAGGCTCATCTGGACCTTGCTGTAAACACACAAACGAATATTACAGCATATAAAGTAATTACAATGATGACACAATTTTCGTCTTTAGTGGGTGTACATATGGACATCACAAGCTTCACCTTCGAGTTCGGAAGCTTGCAGTCACACCATCTCCCGTCAATCATATGCCGCTGGGAGACCACCTTTTCTTGTGCTTCATACTCAGTGAATCTCACAAAGCCGAATCCTTTGGAGTTTCCCGTTTTGGCGTCTCGTTTAACCTGAGAAAAGAACAAATGTTGAGCGCTGGAGATCAGTTGTGCCCACAAACAACCCACGGCGATGTGCATTTTATTACTATATGGAATGGTTTACCTGAACCATGATGACTTCTCCAAATGTGCTAAAGTAGTCTTTAAGGTCCTGTTCACTCGTTTTCCACGGAAGACCCAGTACGATCAGATCAGACGTCTTCATGTCTCCCCTCTTCATTTTCACAGCAGAGGATGCGTCAATTTCTTCCATCTTTCTTTTGTTATCTAAAATGTATTCAACACAGAAGTAGTTGGATTTTAACCTGACAGAGAAGACACAACCTATTCTATCATTCCATCACTACCCTGACTGTAAATAATCAGCAAGGGTGCTTGTGTGCTGCTAAATGTTTGGACAGTGTAGTGTTTAAAATGATTCCTAAAGGCCACTTATTAAAAAAAGTTAACCCACATGTTTCTCATGCAACTGTATCAGCTGCCAGAACAATAGTACAATAGCCTCCACGTAGCAGATCAAATGAATCCAATGTCGATGTGAATACAAAAATAACTTTCGCTACATGCGGATGTTCGAGGACGTGGTCACGTGTACCTTTCGGATAGTTCACTACGTAGACCACATTGGCCCATCCGTTTTCTGGTGCGTGCAGGACTCCTTCCACGAGACGCACCCCCCGCATGCACTGAGACACGGGGCTCCTGAAGCGCAGGCCGCACGCGCCGGGGAACTGCGCGGCCACGGTGGAAAGCAGGACAGTGCCGTCGTCCTCGGACGGGATCTCCATGGGCTCCTCGTTTTCCTCCTCCGCCACTCGAATATATACTTCAGCCATCTTGGAAAACGTGTCCCTTGAATCCCTTGATGCTATAAGGTTAGCAGTTCTACTAGTTGTCAACAATAAGTGCTACCGGTAGCCGATGTTTCCCACTGAGACGTCGCTTGTTAGGAGTTAAGGAAATACGTGTCACGGTAAACTGCTATAACCAAAATGGCTTTAGTTTGGGCTACACATCCAGATGTTTCATAAATAACATTCACAGCATCGGCCTTAGCTGGTTCTTTGTTCGACGGGACCACAGGGATCCGCTGGACAACTCGCTGCTGTTACTGCGTACGGTCCACACGACAACGCATCCAACGACAGATGTCCTCGAACTGCTCGAGTGGCTGACGGATATAACGTTACCCAATTCCAACAAAACGCGTGTCTCGTCTCGGGTGGACTTTCGGAAATACAACGGGGACTGTTTGTTTGTTTTTTTCCACGAGGAGAAATATGAAACCACCATGTACGGCCCCACCAAAATGGCTTGATCCAAGCGAGGAGGGAGCTACGTCACGGGGTTGGGCGGTTTCATTTCACGGGGGTGTTTGTATGTAGAATGTGTCGTTAATATGGACCAGTGAGTAAATCAGTAGCAGTTGGGGATACAGAAGAAATCATGTTGATGTAGCTGTTATTTATATGGAAGATAATACAACTCGATTACCTATCATAGTTCTATGGTAGGCCAATTGACTTGGCTCCGTTCCCCGTGTTGGGCAGATTCATTACCGTCGCTTGCTTCCGTGTTGTGTCGTAGCACAGATGGGAAGATGGCGGAAGAAATGAGGCAAAAGTGTCGAATTATGTTAAAAAATATGTTCACTATGTGTATGTCTCGTCGACCTTGTAGCCTCATACGCTTAGTTCCTCAAAATACACCATTGTAAATATAAAATATATTTTAGTAAAAATGTTGATGTAATACTACTTACATTTTCATGAAAAATAGCCCTTTTAATAACCTTTGACCTGCTATACTGAGACGTTTCAGGAGAATTGAGTGCTATTTTCAAAACAGCTATATGACATGCTGTAATTTTTAATAAAAGGTTTACTCTAGAAGGACATGTGGCACTTTCAAAAAGTAAAGCTACTTTGTACACTTCATTTGCTAATTGTTTGCTTTTAAACGTTCTTTTGATGCTTGTTTCCCTTTTATCTCTGTCCTCAGAACAATATTAAGAAATGTATTTTCACACAACTACCAAATACCTTCTGATCAGAGAAAGAATGTTGAATCTGAATAACATCTATATACACACCCACTAAAGTGTACTCCTGTTCATAGATCCAACTCAACACAGAGATCTCAAACAGCTTTTTATTACATTTCTTCAATCAATAACAGTACAATTTAGTACAGTATCTATCTTGCATCCAGCTCACCGTGTAACACCAACAGAATGAAATGAAATACAAAAAGTGAAAAGGTACATAAGGGTGCAGAGCTCTATAATATTAATGAAAAGAGAAAAGGGAATCCATCTCAGTTGAATTGCATTTTCACTTGTGGCCACACACGAATACATCACATTTATTGTACATCATCGCAGAACAAAGAAAATTGAAAATATGTCACAACTTTAACAAAAGTGCTTCTGTATACAGTGAAATGTCATTCAGATGCTCTGATTTTCAATTTAAGACCAAGAAAACAAAATGTACAAAAGTCTAAGTATGGACTGTATGCAAGGACGTTTTTGTTCCATTGAGAGTAAAGATTTGGAGGAGAGATGTTAAGGATAGAATTCTTACAATGATTGTATTCATTACAAAATTGGCATCAATAGAACTGGTAAGCATAATTTACACTAAGTATGCAGTTATTAAGTCTCCCCATCCTTGCTTACTCTGGTGCATGTGGTTACCAGTATTGGTACATTATGAATGTAGAATTTGAGCCAAAATGAAATTGGCGTCTAAGTTCAATCAGTCGTTTACTCTCCTTTTCAGGAAAAAAAAAAATCTAGGATTTTGCACCATTGAAAGCAAGTCTACAGCATGCACATCTAAATCAACCCATGGCAGACAAAATTAAAATGTCTTAACTTAAAACATCAGACCATTATTTTCAGACATTGATTTGTACATTTCATTCACAGAGTTGCAACTGCAGTCCCAAGCAAAGGAAGTGTCTATTTAGTCAGGTGAGGTGTTTCACTCAAAAGGGGACACTAAACACAACCCCCCTCCCCCCTCCTTCCATATAAGAAAATCCACCCATGCCCAGTTGATCTCAGCAACTACCTTGCTGTCCCACCCCTTCCCATCCAAAGTCAAAGGCATGTACAAGAATTAAGGGGGTTAACTGGACAAGTTACTCGTAATAACTCCTTTTGTACTGGAATGAGCATTCATAACTTATAGCATGTGCTTGGTTAGTTAACATAGTATTAGTTCAGAGGCAAAGCTTCTTCATGTGCAAAAGGCTGTGATGAAAGAAAAACGGCTAGTATATAAATACATCCTGGACACGTTGAAAGCTGCTCGTGTAATATGATCCAAGCTTTTACTTGCCGCATGTTTTCCGTCGTCTGTTTTATATGATTTAACTGGATTAGAAAGACAAGCTGTAATTCAAACATATCTAAAACCACTAAAGAAATGTGACAAAAAGAAAGCTATCAAGATTAACAAACCATCAGAATAGAATAAAAAAAGAAAAGAAAAAGTTAAATAATTTGTACAATTACACTCCAACATTTGCTTTCGAGACGCACACATTTGCAAGGGATGATAGTGTTGTTTTCTCTTTCATGGTAACATAAAATGGTCCAAGAAGAAATGCACAAGTTTCTGATTTGATACCACAAGAGATCCTTTAACTAGGTGATAAACATTTGTGCTCTTCTTTGTGTAGGAAAGGCATTGGTTTCCCTTCGTTTATGTGGTGTCCAAGTCAGTTTAAACAGTGTTGAAGATGCTGTGGACATTCTGAAGTTGTAATAGTCTTCCAGTCAACTTTGGAGTTAAAAGAACATCTGGAAAGCAAAGACGAACAAAATTGAGAATTCAACTCATCTCATTTGATATACAGTTGTAGCCAGTTGAACCTTCTGTAAATGTTAAAACCTAATTGTAATTGGGAACAATCTAAAAAACGGAGGTGTCTAATAACACCGTAAAAATTATTGTGGACAGCACAATCATGTTATTGTCCACAATTGTCTCACAATAATTCAACTACCTGTTAAAAGCCAGTTGGAAACAGTTTGCGCTACGATTACTGGCAGACCTCGGTCCGGCTAGCGACCGACCCGTTGACGTGGACATGTCAAACTTGAGGCCTGCGGGTACAATTATATCCAACAATAAAATATCAATCGTCTACTATTGATGGCCCGTCAGGATATAGGATGCACACCACTGGTACAAAAAAAAATCCCAGAATGCACAGCATCAGATGTTCCTTCTCGAGAGGTCATCTGTGCTGGTCACTTGTAATTCATTTAAATAAGCCTCCCGAAAGAAAAGTTGACGCGGGAAACAGGGACTCGTAGACGGCTGTGAGGAAGAGCATCCACTTACTTTATCAGTAAACCTGTTTTCCTCATTTGTGGAGCTGGCGTGTCAGTCATTAAAGATTACAACATTATGACACAAAAAAACAGCGAGGGCTTTCCAAGCCAAGCTAAGGAAGGAACCGGTTATCGCTAGGGCTGTCAAGATAGCTCAAAAATGACGTTTGAATATTCGCTTATAAAAAATAAAAAAAACACAGAAAATATCTGGTATATATATATATATATATATATATATATTAGGCGCAAATTGCAGGCACGTCAAAAACAGGACAAATTAATACAACAAGACATAACTACTTGTATAGGTAATTTATCTAAGTTGAAACCGATTTAACAACATTACCTACACAAAAATAAATAAATTAACTAACGGCCAAGACTGCAGATCTCTCGCTCGCACACACGCACTCTCTGCGCAAAGCGGTTTAAATGAACGACAAATGCTGATCAAGAGGTCGCGATTCTTGTCCCAAATATGTCAGGCGTCATTCAGTCATTTTTTTTGGTACATTCTAATATTATTTTTCACATTCGAATAGTTGTTAAAAACAACAAATATATATTCGAAAATAGAATATATAGCCCTGGTTACCGCCTGATAATGATTTATAGGAAACAGTTGTAGATCTCCATCTCTGCAGGGAAGAAGTAGTGATGGCCCGGACATCCGTTATCCGTACAGCCGCTGGGCACAAAGCCAAAGGCTCAATTGTCGTCAGACACCTCATGGGGTCCAAAACTGTGTTGACATTTTTCTAAGTGTCTGAAATGTTTACAAAGTCACTATTTGTCAAAAAAAGATTTCAGGATTCGTTCAAGCAAACAGGCGCCTGCATTATGCAGCCCAGCAAAAGATTAAGAAATAGAAACATATTTCACTGAACCTTCTATGCCACATACGTCAAACTCGCGGTCAAATCCGGCCCGCGGAGGCGTCCAGTGCGGCCCGCCGCCAAAGCCGGGGGACTGAATTACAGAACGATCCTCACGCACGCGCGATCACTTCTGCTTCTTTTATATCGATTCACGCCCCCCCCCCCCCCCGTCGGCTGTACCGGATGGTCAGCGCCACCCCTCCGTATAATTTTAATGGTCTGGCCCACGTTCGATCGAAGTGGGCAGTATCTGGCTCGGACGCCCTGATGTATGCACATGCGACCAAAGCACAGCAGCTTGTACTACAGCCAATCAAAAGATGAGACATCAACACCTGTGCACCGACAGCTTTTGGACTAGTACTTTGCTAAGAACAGTATTAGCTAAAAATGTAGGAAATTAAACATTATAATAAAAATAAAAAGACCTTCAGGCTTCAATTCCAGATCTTCAGAAAACTGTCCCAGGATCCTGTTGCAACGGCCATGCCGTCATCAGTAACTCCCAGGCAGCTAACGCGGTTGTCATGTCCAGCCAATACACCTACATGAGTATAACAATAACTTAGTCAAGTACATTTTATAGTCAATAATTATTGACCCAAGCAAATTTTGGTAAGACGATACAAAAGCAAGAGCTGCTTTTTTTATTTGTATTTGATCAATTGCTTACCAGCACGGTCGGCTTTTAGTGTGTCCCACACATTACAGTTGAAGTCATCGTATCCCGCCAGAAGCAGACGGCCACTCTTTGAGAATGCAACGGAGGTGATTCCACAGATGATATTGTCATGAGAGTAGATCATTAATTCCTGATCGGCACGCAGATCAAAAAGCCTGCAGGTGGCATCGTCGGAGCCCGTGGCGAAGGCATTGCCATTAGGGAAGAACTAAAAAGTCCCAAAAAGACAATTTTAATGCACGACAGAGGAATGAACAACGACTGGACCAACATAAAAACATGGCATGCAGTACAGATTTTTTTCATCACTTACACAGATGGCGTTGATGTCGGACTCGTGGCCGGTGAACGTCTGTCTGCACATGCCCTCTCGAACATCCCAGAGTTTAGCGGAGGCATCACAAGCACCAGAGACGAA